TAATACAAATTAAAGTTCGATTGGGAATGGCTGTGTGTGGTTTAGGTTGATAGCTTTAGATTTGATCACAGCTCTGGCCCACATACTTGCTGCCATTGTGTCCTTGGGCATGACACTTTGCCGAACCTGAATGAATTAATGTAAGTATGAATGTTGTTGTGTTAAATGAGTGACTGGTGTTGGTCGGAGAAGCTGTTGGCGCAGACTGGCAGCCATCGCTGGGCGTCTGTACTTTAGTGACTTGTGCCTCGATGCATTTCGGTGATCTGTAAGGAAATGCTAGTCTGATTCATCAGCTGGTTTCACTTCAGGTTAGGGTTATTTTTTTGCACTTAACCAATCACTGCTATTTGGTCGTGACGTATGTAAAGCACCACTAACAGGGCTAACTTGCATATTAATCTTTTCCCAAATCCTGTAGGAAGAAGGACAATAACATCTTTCCCTTTGATAAAATTCACCAAACATTCTCTTTGTTTCGGCTTTAAATCCTCGATCTTGGGAATCGTTGCAACACAGAATATACGGCTCTTCCCTGATTGGCTGGTGCCGAACTCGCACTTCCAGGGTTTTTGCGAACCGTCTATTGTATTCTGATTCCTGACCTAGTCACTGGAGAGAAATGAAATTGAGTGGAGGCACTAGGTGGCGCCAGCCTGGCTAAGGAAATGCTGAGTTGAAAAGCCAAATATTAGATTCAAATTCAAGATTTTATTGTTACTGTCACAGAAAACAACAAAATTACATTTAAAAGGTGCAAGAACCATCCAATAACGCCATAATAAGTAAAGATTAGTGAGTTAATGGGCCTGTCACAATATAAAAATTGAAACGTGATGTATAGCTTGAGAAAAAGTTGCAATGCACCATAATATTCACCATTTTTAGCAGGATAAAGCCTTTTTAACCCTATTATAATGAAAATATATTTAAAAAGCACAGTAGTAGATAAACAGTATCGATAGAGAGAGCCCAGACCAGGAAGAGGCACCTGTTGCTTTTGTGTGCCAGTGGAAACTTCCGTGAAATGTCAGCTAAGTGCTCATAAAGACCTGGATCAGATTCCATCCACGCCTATGGGCTTTCTGCACTTCCTCGGGGAATGCACTAAAATCACTGCGGCCCATTCACAAAAAGGTCTGCTGGCCCCAGAGCCCACGTCACAGGGACACAGAGGAAAAGCATTGTGTGAGCGTTGTGTTTGTTGTAGCGACTCATTGTTGGTGAAACTGCTTTGTCATTTGGGAGCTGGACATGTACACACTGCATTTTATTTCACGCTATCAGGAAACTGCAGTTTTAACAGGAATCATATTTTGTAGATCAATTATAAATTGAGGGATGAGCTTGAACTGTGATAACCTTTTGCCTCCATTCGGTGCCATAAATTTGACAGTGGAGTCTATTGTAGGTCATTAACCCAATGGTTGAGCGTTTGATCCCAATACTACTGTTAATGGACGCTGCCCTTGTGTCCTTGGACCAGACACTTCACTCACCTTGTGGCCTTGAGATATAAACTCACTGACTACTGAATGTTGTAGAGCAAGTTTCGCTTTTAAAGATGTTCTAATTTTAATAACATAACTCATTAAAGATTTGTCTAATAGTTTGGTCAAAGGTGCACTATTTCGTTTCCATTTCTTTTTTCTTTTTGTATTCCTGACCTTGTCTGTCTTATGATAAGTTGTACTGTGGAACATTCCAGTCAAAGCAGTAACATCTCCACAGAAGCGAGCGGGGGCAGTAACCTTCCCCGGAAAAATTCTGCAGTGCACTTGACAGTTTTTTTCCAGTCTCTTTGGCACTTTTATCTATTAAAAATTGACACTGGCAAGCTCGCACAAAATCCTGAACAGAATTTAAGTTTTCCTAAAGAAATTTCAATGTCAGCTAAATGCAGTTTTTCCATTCAGAACTGATTAACAAATTATCTCCCCAAAGCAGTTTTACCGTCAAAACTCACACTTTGATCATGTGTTTTTCTGTGCTCTTTCATTCATGTGTCAGAGGCCATGCTTTACACACTTTGAATTTTGGAAAAGCTGTTCTTTTTTTGACTAAAACCTGTTTGTATATAGTAGGGGTGTAACGATATCCAAGTCTCACGATACGATGATATCATCACGGTATGAACCTCACAGTACGATATTTATTGTGATATCGTGGGAAAGCTCACGATATTGCTGGAAGACTTATGATTAGAGATGTAACAATATCAAAATCTCTCTGTATGATATTTTCATGATATATATTTACTATATTTATTGCGATATTTTGTGGAGGCTAATTGCTACTTTTTCCTCTTAAAACGCCTTGACAAGACTTACTAAGACTAAGACTAAAAAATGCTTAGAACTGTTATTTCTTCTATCGGTTGATATCGGTTATCGGCCGAAACTATAAAATCAAAATTGGTATCGGAACTGAAAAATCTTGATCAGTGCATCCCTAATTTAGAATAGTTTTTGTGATACATAGGGGTGTAACTATATCCAAGTCTCACGATACGATATCGTCACGGTATGAACCTCACGGTACGATATTTATTGCGATATCATGGGAAAACTCACGATTACGAATGTAACAATATCCAAATCTCTTGGTACGATATTTTCACAATATACATCTCACAGTACAATATCTTTTGCCATATTTGGTGGAGCTAACAAAACTGTGAATATGCGACTTTTTCCACTTAAAATGTCTTGACAAGACTTAATCCAAAGAACTAAGACTTAAAAGTCCTTAGAACTGTTATTTCTTCTTGTAGTCTGCACTGAAATGGAGCAAATGATCATGGTCTATGTAGTTCTCTGTCTTTTGTTGTAGTTCCCTATTGCTGCCTGTAACTCTTAATTTAAGCAAAGAGACTTGTAATTCGATATATTTTGATGGACCACGAACTTTGATGATACAATGTCATGATATTTCGGTTATTGTTACACCCCTAGTATATACTGTAGTACAATTGCAAAGTAGATTTTTCAAACCTGTAGCATTAAAAAAACACAGTCCTCAGTCTCTTTCTCAGAACACTGGACGCAGCTCTCATTCACAAACACACATGATCAGAGAACTCAGCTTGTTTTTTTTAATAACAAGCTGAGTTCTCTGATCATGTGTGTTTGTGAATGAGAGCTGCGCCCTGTTCTGAGAAAGAGCCTGAGAACTGTGTGAACTCATGACAAACGCTCCAAATGATGTCAGCACCTCAGACACAGTTTGAAATGATCAAACTAAACCAACTCTCAAAAAAAGTGCTAAAACTACGGAGAAAAGGTGTAAAACCGAAACGCTGATTGAGTTCCCAACACCTGTGGGGGCGGATCACGATGAGGTGTTGACGTATTTCTGTGAAGTAGGCTGAACACTATCGCTGCAACTTCCTTCCCATCACAGAGTTAACAGCACGTGACCTTTGACCTGTTTCCTCAGCACATGTTATAAATAGTATCTTAATCTGCACAACAATGCTTTTCTTATGGCATATACTGATGATAATTACATAATGACAAAAGTTGAATCTGATCATTAAAGGTGCACCATGTCACTTTTTTATTGGAGATAGTGTAGCAATAGAGGGAACTACATAGACCATGACCCTTTGCTCCATTTCAGTGCAGACTACATGAAGAAATAACAGTTCTAATCACTCTTAAGTCTTAGTTCTTTGGATTTGGAAGTCTTGTCAAGGCATTTTAAGAGGAAAAAAATGTGTATTAACAGTTTTGTTAGCTCCACAAAATATCGCAATAAATATCGTACCGTGAACTGTGTATCGTGAAAATATCGTACCGACAGATTTGGATATTGTAACATTCCCAACCGTGAGCCTCCCCACCATATCGTGAGCTTTCCCATGATATCGCAATAAATATATCGTATCGTGAGACTCAGATATCGTTACACTGCTAGTAATTAGTAAACTACTCTTTTAGTAATTAGTAAAGGATGGATAAAGACTTAATAATGAAGAAATAGTGTGCTACGATTGAAGAACACCAAAATACATGTAAATACAACACAAATAAAAGTTAGATCGGAATTGGCTGTGCGTGATTTAGGTTGATAGTTTTTTATTTGATCGCAGCTCTTCCTGCTTGTTTCTATGGATATTTCAATGCTGCGCTTGTATTTACAACACAACAAAACAGGAATAAATATGCAATTCGAGTTTAGATCGCAGCATTTTGCAATGATATATGCTTTTATTGTATTATTCTCAACAGTATATGATATAATTCTACACATATTTGGAGAGTTTGTGAGCTTCAGTTTTGACTTTTTCAGATGTAATGTACAGATAAGCTCAGACTGTGTGGGAGTGTGGCCTGTTTCCTCTGTATTATTAACACACAAACCACAAACAGAGAATATATATGACAATAGCTCTGACCTCAATATGAATTTACTGACAATAATATCTGATAAGAATGTGCAACTCTGCAATTTAATGCACAAAGAACACACCGCAGTGCATAGTTATCGCTTTGCAACTTTAGAAACATTTAACTTTCTACCTTATTATTATTATTATATTGTTCAGTCATCTTTTTTTTTTAAATGTATTTAAAGGTGCACTTTGTAATTTTTTGGTTTTTGCTTGTTTCTTTGGATATGTCATTACTTACAGGTTGTTTAATAGCTCAAAAATACTTCGAAAATGGCATTCTGACTGTTAGTGGGACTGCCTCTCCACAAGATCTGACCTGTAACTTGGTCTGGTTTGGTTTCCATGAAGATAGAAAGGTTTAAAACCATACTGTGAAACATTTCAGACACAAAAACAGCATCTGCAACCAGAAAAGTTACACAATGCACCTTTAAAAGTGCAGAACTGAATGAACATCAATGTATTTTAGGTTTTAAATAGTTTGAGAGAAGTGGTAGCCCCCCCAAAAAGAAAAATACTTTTGTAATTTTGTATGAGAAATTTTGCGTAATCTAAGTGGAAATTTTGGACATGATTTGAATCTTTTGTCGCTTTGTCTTTTCAGTAATCCCAGACTCGACATCCTTCGTTGTTGTGCTGCTGTTGTTGGAGCTGATTGGCCAGTCCCTGTCTCGTCCCGCCCACAACCCCACCTTCTGCACTCTGATTGGTTCCATGCTCCCTCACGTCGAGAAGCTCATCAGCCTCTCCGAAAAACTGCACGAGCTGGTGAGAGATCTTGTAAAAATGCGTTTAATGTTAAAATCAAATGGCCCGAGCGGCAAAAAATACGTAAAAGTTATTACCATTTTTCCATACACAAGGAAAATAGTCCTCACTGACATACATGCTATATATTGTGCAAATTTACTTGAATTAACTTTTAACCATGTCCTGTATTGTCCTACATTTGAGGCTTCAATACTCTGACAATTCACCTATCCCTTATCTCCGCCCAGTGCTACGTACATGTGGTTTTTCTACTAAAACTCTGGGTCATACACTGTAAACTGTAAATAAGTTACCAGAACTCAAAATAATTGAGGCAAGCGATTGCATCAATTATTTTAAGTTGACAAAAAAAGTCACATATTTGCAGGGAATTTGACTCATAGTTTTCTGTTAAACTGACTCAGTTATTTTTTTCATTTATTATTACTTAAAAAGGGTAGACATGGGGTCTTAAAAGTCTTAAAAAGGTCTTAAATTTCATGTTCTTAAATTAAGGCCTTAAAAAGTCTGAAATTATGTTGTCCAAGTATAATTTGGACTATGCGCAAACATTACTTAGTTTGTCTTGTTAGAATGTTATAAATGATTTTTTGGCCATTTTCCAAGCAGTGCATACTACTATAAATGAGTTCTGAATGAGATTTTATAATAAAAGTATTTTTTGTTATTTAAAGCCGTGAGTAATGGTCATTATTAGAATTGGATCTTTCGCCCGCATAATGGGTGCGATACTGGTCTTAATTTTCATTTAAGTGATCTTAAAAAGGTCTTAAAACTTTAAATATGGGGTAGTCAAACCTGGGGACACCATGTTAAAAATAAAACCTTAAAAGTAAAATAACCAATAAGAATACAAATAAAATAAAATAAAGTAATGCATTTAGTCCCATGTAATTCCAGTTTATTTGTTATGAAAGAATTTAGTACTTATTTAGTGAAGTGCTTTGAATTTATATTTTAGCATGTACTATATAAATTAAGTTTATTTTTAAATCATCCCAATTTGAACAATATAAATAACAGGACTTTATTATTATTCCCAATGTTTAATTACTTCATTCTCCTAAGTTATACTTCATCTATTTTTTAAGTCATGCTTAATAATACCCACAATAGTTCCCTTTAATAAAAAAAAAAAAGAAAAAAGTTAAAATTACTCAAAAAGAAGAACATGTTACAGCAACTTGACATAATTAAGTTAGAAGGACTATTTTTATTTACAGTGTGCATATAGAGTCCAGAAATGTCACGTAATCATCTGGACAAAAATAAAAATGTGTAACTAAAACTCTTTGCTGTGATAAAATTGCACTCTGAAGCGGTTGTGTCAGTTCTGCAGTTTTGAAGTCAGTAAATCTGCTTCTATTATCAAGTCATTTTCAATCAGTACTGCTGTTTACAGTTGATAACATGTAAAATAATGATCTCTGTGTGTTATACTACCCATAAAATACCCATAAAAAGCCTGATGTCTTGTGTAACCTTGTATTTTTCCCATGTGTCTACAGTCAGATGAAGACCTGAGTCATTTGGCTACTGCAGATCACAGACTGGACTCTCTCCTGGAGATCCAGCACACAGCAGCAGCATTCACCTCCATCAAGGTACACTCACACAGCACACTTACAACATATGTGAATGTGGATTTGGATTTAGCTGTCACCAAACCTGACAACTACACTTCATTAGATCCTATGAAAAAGACAAAAACAATAATACATTTGAAATATCACTAACAATCAATATGCCAATGTATGTTAAAGATGCACTGTGTAACTTTTTCATTCATGTCATGAAGATGTTATTGTTTTACCTGGAGTGTTCCACAGTATTTCATATCTATTCAGCATTTTTTTCTTTCATGATGATTATTTTTAGCACCCAAAAATACATTAGAGAACATACATTCTTACTATGAGTATATAGGGTTGCCTTTCCACAGATCTGACCTGCAACCTGTCACTTGACCTGCAAATCTAAAGCCGTAAATAAATTGCATCTGTGGAGATAATTCAGAAAAGTTACACAGTGCATCTTTAAGCTTCAGTGAATCTATATTATTAAGTGTTGTATATGAAACCCTAACGTGCTGCGCTCTGCTCCACAGATCAACGAGTCCCTGTCTCAGCTGCATAACTACTCAGAGTCGTACAGGTTCCACATGGAATGGTTAAAAGCAGCCAGAGAGAATGTCAGTCTTCCCACTCAGCCAACAGAGGGCGCCAGCAGACACCTGCAGCAGCTCACGCACCTGCTCAACTCCAGCCTGAGCCAGGTGAGGGTCATGTGTGACAGGGAGTGGAACAAAGAGAAAAGACATAAAGTAATAACCTTGTAGACAGGAAAATAACTGATAGTGTCACAACATCAAATATTAACTTATCTCTCGTGTTGAAAAAGGAATATTTTTATATGGTGTAATGGTTTCACCTTCTTATCATTTTCTTAATCTGAGTTGTATTTCCGTTGATTCAGGCATGTATGAGTAATCCTGTACAGTCCTGCATTTGAGGCTTGAGTACTCACTCTGATTTTTTTTTTTTCACATACACCTATCTCCACCCATTACTTAATTATTCAGTAAAATTCCAATTTGATCAGGTTAAAAATATAATTTTTCACTGCTTATACTCTGAAATGCCACTAGAAGCAAAACTTCTCAGAGCTGAAGTTTGGAAAAAGACGTCCATAGATCTGTCTGAATTATTGTTTTAGATCTATATTTGCCATTTAGAATGAAAAAAAAATGTATACTAAATATGTGAACACAGTATATGTCTTAAACAAATAAAAGAATAATTTCTCACACTGTTTTGTGTCCCTTTGTCCCCAGGTGCAGGACGAGGTGGTCCAGGTGCCTTCCTCCTCTCCCCCCTCGCTCCCTCTGGTGTCATCGGCGTTTGACGCCCTCAGGTTTTCAGTGGAGGTCTCAGAGAAGCTCCGAGCATTCAGTTTCTGGACCAAGAGGTGGATCCGCTTTATACTGAAACACTCACGCTGCCCCAGACGTTGACCACATCTGCTGTTACCACGGAAACCACATCTGCAGTGGCCACGGACACAGGGTCTGGACTCTTACTGTGAGGAGGGACTGTTCACATGTATCTTATAGGAATATCACAGCTGAATGTACGACTGTCCAGTTTCTGAAGCCTTTAAGAGCACTCAAAACAACCACACGTCCGTCGCATTTCAATAGATTATGTCACCTCTCGCAATTTATCATTTTATATGGATCCAAAGCAAATCATTTTCATTTTAAGGCCTGGTATAAAGTTGCACTGTGTAACTTTTCTAGCAGTGACTCTCCAAGGAGTTGTTGTTGCTTCACCTACAATATTCCACAGCATGGCATTAAACTTAAAACTTAAAATTTAAAATTGAACCATTTCCATCCTATTTGGATACAAGCAGGTGAGGCCAACCTGCTAGATTATAGGTCAGATCTGTGGAGAGGTGATCCTGCTCAGAGTAAGAATGCATGTTTTCAAGGTTTTTGAACAATAAAAACTCTTGTAATAATAATTCATAGGTGAGTTTAAAGTCATACTGTGGAACATTCGAGGTATAACAATCATTTAACATATATATTTAAATGTAAAGTGTATATATTATATTGAAATGTGTTGGGCGTGTGGATTTTGAGTGAGATTATGCACTGTTTTGGGCCAGTTCACTCCCTCTGTTTACACTGACGGTGCCTCCAGGAATATTTTTGTACTGTTTCTTTAGGATGTTATTTATGACTCGCATCAGTGTTTAGTTTGAGGTGCAGGCATCTCACGTTTTGTATATCAGTCAAATAATATGCAATATTTAATAATAATATTAATAATATTAGCATTGTTGTAATGCTTAAGGTTTATTTATGTTTTTATATGTCTCTGTTTTTATATGTTTCATGAAGATAAATACATTTTACAAGAAAACTGCACCATGTTGTACTGTGTTGTGTTTTACTCCAGGATTGTTCAAAGTACACTGAGTACCCCCTTTTTACTAGTACACTTTATTAGTATATTACCAGTTATAACTACTATATTTTCTTACTTTAAAGGTGTTCATTCAAACATTATCCAACATGAACATTATTAAAAATTTAAAATGTACAGTTTTTTTTATGGTCAAATGCAGTTACAGTTCAGTTTCACGGTTCTTTTAAAACTGAAATCATTCCAAATACTCACAGGACAGTCTTTGCGTATCCACATTTTATTTTATTTTACCAGGAGAATCTCACTGATATTAACACTTATTTCTCAAGGGAGTCCTGAGCTGCAAACTTTAACATTACTTACTACATAAATACAACAAGAACTAATAGTAAGAAAAAAACAAACAAAAACAACTGCAAATTATTGAAGCAGATTATAAAGACATTACGGGAAAATAATGGGCACATTATGGATATTCTCTACATTTATAACCAAACAGACATTATCCAAAACAGACTCCCAAGCAGAAAACTGATCAAAGAATTCTTAATCAAACCCTCCATAAATGAAGAAAGAAAGAATGCCGTGTCTCTCATAGAGCTGTCAGATGTCCCAGAGCTCAGTGTTGACATGTCCATATCACCCACACTTCTTATGTAAGTGTCTTTAAGTCCATAGGCTCAGACCAGGTCCAGTTTCAGAGACTGGCCTCGATACGTGACAGAAGTGCTACAAGTCTGCTAAGATTACTTCAGAATGAAATGAAGTCATCTTTCTTACCCAAGCAAAATGCAAATATAGAGTTTCAGAGATAGAGCTGAAAATAAATAGTTCACACAATTTAGCAGAGATTGCTTTAGGTTTCAAGTTTTAACTGAGACAACCCAAACTCCCAAAAATACAAATTAAAGTACTGATAACTGCAAGAAATTATACACTTACTGTACTGTACAAACTATTGCAAAACTGAACATAGACTGAACACAAAAGACATTTGTAAAATCATAATTTTTGGCAACACTTTATAATAACTAATTATCCATAATAAAACATGAATAAAGACTGAAGTCATAGTTAACAAAAAGTTAATTAATAATTAACAAAAAGTATATTAATAGTTAGTAACCCCGAGATAGTTGAACTCCTTCACTTGAGGCAGGCTTCTCTCACCTATGGTCATGACCTCTGGGTAATGACCGAAAGTACGAGATCACGGATACAAGTGGCTGAAATGAGTTTCCTTCACAGGGTGGCTGGGAGCTCAGTCACACGGGAGGAGCTCAGAGTAGAGCCACTGCTCCTCCACGTCAAGAGGAGCAGCTGAAGTGGCTCAGGCATCTGTTCCGGATGCCTCCTGGGCGCCTCCATTGGGAGGTGTTCCGGACATGTCCCACCGGAAGGAGGCCCCAGGGAAGACCAACGACATGCTGGGATGTTTCTAGGCTGGCCTGGGAACTCTTTAGGGTTCCCAGAGGAGCTGGAGGAAGTGTTCAGGGTGAAGGATGTGTGGGAGTCTCTGCTTAGACTGCTGCCCCCATGACCCGGCCCTGGATAAGCAGAAGAAAATGGATGGATGGATGGTTAGTAACTACTTAATACAAGAAACCCAACCCACACCCCTTCAGTAATAATAAAAGTAATAAGCATAAAAGATACAGTATGTAACTTTCTGGAGGCGACGTCACCTACATTACTCCATGGAAACAGAAAGTTAAAACCATAACTATGGAGATGGATTTATATCTTATGCCACACTTTTAGTCTATGTTTGACCAAAAAGTTACATACTGTGGCTTTAATACGACTTCATTCATAATGAACTATATATGAATTATAAAGTGTAACATTTTCTAGCTGGTCTGCGTCACTGATGGGAGGTGGACCGCAGTTTGAGAAACCCTGGTCTATTTCCAGCTGAAGATTCTTACAAAGAAAAACCATGTGAGAGAAAGCTGCTGAGGAGTGCTCTGTAAAATGCTGAAAGAGTTGGATTTACGGCTGTGGTCTTTGGTCCACCCACGAGGGAATGTACAGAGGAGCAGATGGAGAGACAGATGAGCGCACCAAGAGAAAGAGAGAAGAGGGGAGGGAGAGGCAGGATAAGGAAGAGAGAGGAGAAATAGAGAAAGAGAGAGGTCAAGACTGAGAGAGGGGGGTGACAGACAGAGATAGAAAGAGACAGTGAGGCAGGAGATAAAAATTTGGGTGGGTTGAGTATCTAAAAATAGCCATAGATATATTAATCAAGCAGAAAAAGGAAGTGTGTGACTGTAACATCTGCTGAAGTGATTCATGTTTTCAGATGAACTTAATGTAACTGAGGATATAAAGATTTCAAAATCAATCTGGAACAAACCACACCAAAGAAGAAAGTGCACGAAACACAAATATTCAAATGATTTCATAGTCAGCAAAAGATCTTGTCACTTTTAGACAGTCGTAGAAGCTAACAAAGTACAAATAGTTCTGTACTTAAGTCAAAATTTTAGGTCTCTGTACTTTACTTAAGTACGTTTTACAGTGGATATTTTTTACTTTTACTTCACAACATTTGAGAACATGTAGTATCTGTACTTTCTACTCTGCTACATTTTTGAACTGGACTCAAAAGTCAAAAGTACTTCTCATGTGATTTTAGGAGTTATCTTTTACCATGTCCGTGTTAAGAGTTTTTGAGTTTAAAGTTCGGAGTGGAGCAAACAAAAATAAACACACAAAATTCATAAGAAGAAAATGAAGAAACTGAATTGTGTTGACCAAAATATATAACACCACTTGAGTGAAGTTCTTTTACTTTTTACTCTTAAAGTACATTTTTAAACAGGTTCTTAAGTAGATTTTTTTCATGTGATACTTTTACTCAAGTAACTTTATACCTGCATATCTGTACTTTTACTTAATTTACTTAACAAAATTGAGGACTTGATCTAACGCTTGTAGACTTGCAGTGGAAAGAGTAACCAAAATGTTTACCCAAATAAACACTTTTTAATACAACTGAGTCCTTGTTTATTGTCATGTCCTCCTCCTTTGACCCACCCTAAAACACAAAGGTTACTGCATTTCACAAAGTACTCCTGACGAAATCCAGAAGGGCTCAGATCTGGAGAAGCGCTCCTTTTTGTTGCCTGTTCTGAGGTCATTCATCGCTTCTGACGCCTTAAAGGGGAAAAAAAAGTGAACAACAAAACAATCAAGTCAGTGTGTTTTGTTTTCTTTAAGTGCTGAGGGGTTCTGCAAAGAGAGTGGACTGTAGATAGACCTGTCAATCATGTTTAGTGAGTCAGACAGACAGTGTCATCTACCACAGGCCTGTAGGGGGCACTCACGTGTTTGTGTGGAGGTGATACAACTCAACAGCTCTATGCTCTCTGCACACACAGAGAGAAACAGAAAGAAAGAGAGAGAGAGAGAGAGAAAGACATAAAAATGGGAAAAGAGAGGGAGAGAGCGATAGGAAAAGGGAGCAAAAGACACAGAGAGAGGTAGAGAAAAAGAGAGAGAGACAGAGAGCAGGATACAGAGAATTGAAGAGGAGGACAGTGAGGGTGAGAGAGATCGAAAGAAAGATAGAGATAGGAAGAGGGGGAAAGTAAGAGCAAAAGAGAGAGAGAAAGATGGAAAGAGAGAGGTAAGAGGAAAAGAGAGAGACAGAGAGCAGAAGAGAGAGAATTAGAGAGAATAACAGAGAGGGAGAGAGCGAGATAGAAAGAAAAGAGAGAGAGAGAAGAAAGAGACAGAGAGAGAGAGAGATGGAGAGAGAGAGAGATGGAGAGAGACAAGACAGAGAGAGAGAGGGAGAGAGAAAAAGAGAGAGCCAGAGAGTGGAAGAGAGAGAATTTGAGAGAATGATAGGGAGGGAGACAGAGAGAGATAGAAAGAAAAGAGAGAAAGAGAGAGAGAAGACAGAGAGAGGGAGGGAGAGAGAAAAAAAAGAGAGAGACAGAGAGCGGGAGAGAGAATTGGAAAGAAGGATAGTGAGGGTGAGAGAGCTAGAAAGAAAGAAGGAGATAGGAAGAGGGGGAAAGAGAGAGAGAGAGAGAGAAAGATGGAGAGAGAGAGGTAAGAGGAAAAGACAGAGACAGAGAGCGGAAGAGAGAGAATTAGAGAGAAAGAAAGAGAGAGAGAGAGAGTGGCAGAGAGAGAGAGATGGAGAGAGGGAAGACAGAGAGAGAGAGGGAGAGAGAAAAAGAGAGAGACAGAGAGTGGAAGAGAGAGAATTAGAGAGAATGATAGAGAGGGAGAGAGAGATAGAAAGAAAAGAGAGAGAGAGAGAGAGAGAGAAGACAGAGAGAGGGAGGGAGAGAGAAAAGGAGCGAGGGACAGAGAGTGAGAGAGAGAGAATTGAGAGAAGAATAGTGAGGCCGAGAGAGAGAGAGAGACAGAAAGACAGAAAGAAAGAAAGAAAGAAAATAGAGAGATAGGAAGACAGAGAGAAGGAGAGAGGGGCAGAGAAGGAGAGAGAGAGAAGGACAGAAAAGCTGAGGGGGGGCACAGAGAGAGAGATAGAGAGGAAGAGAGAGAAAAAGAACGAGAAGGAGAGACAGAGACAGAAAGAGGGAGAGAGAGAGAGAAGGACAGAAAAGCAGAGGGAGGGACCTGTATGTTCTATGTTTTGTTCTTTTTTTAATTGTCTTTGCATGTTGGTAGAAAAAAAAACAAACAGAGGAGGGGACAGAGAGAGAGAGGAAGAGAGGGAGAGGGGGAAGGACAGAAAAGCAGGGGGGAGAAAGGGGGAGATAGAGGATGAGAAAAAGCGACAGAGCAGAGCTGGAGAGTATAAAGATAGAGCAGATGACAGGAGGCTGGAGGAGCGGGGCCACAGCAGAGGCTCCGTGTTGTTTTTGGGAGAGCTGAGGCGCTCTGTGACTCTGAGGGAATTCTGTGGAGTAAAAATAAACAGGGACAAAGAGAATGATGAAGAAACATGGTCTGAGACATAAACACCATGTGACCCACTTCTGCACTTTTGTTTTGATTGCATTATGGGTCACTTGTACGTGGGGGCGGATGGAGCAACGTTTTTGATGAGCGAGCAAAAACTCATTCAAAAACAAAAAACAGTGAAAGGGCCCAAAATACTCTGTTTCCCCGTTTATGTTGTAATGTTTCTTGGAGTTGGGTTTTGTTTCATTCACATGTTTAACTCACAAACCCTGCACATTTAGACTCGGTTCTTCTCTCAAACTGAAAACACTGTTCCACTTTGTGACGTCATGTGGTAAATTACTACCTCACTCCTTGTCTTTTCGCAATTTCACTCCTCTCCACGTACAGCGCACACAGGCTCCCTCCTCAACGCGCTGATTTGAAGAGCAAGACGAAACGCAAAGCAAAAACTAATCAAAATTTATGTTGCAGTTCGTCTAATAAAAGTTCACAAATGCATCTGGGTTTGTCATGATGTGTATTTGTATGATATTAGGGAGTTTTTACAGACCAAGAGTTTGTTTTCATACACGCATCAAGAATCTCGGACTTCCGGCCATCGTGCAATGCATACTGGGAAGGATTTTCTGAAAAAGTGAGCATCAAACCGCCATGTTTGTTTTCCCAGTGGGATGAGTCTATTGTCAGAGCCAGTCTTTTCTAGTCTTTTGAATCATGTCGCTTTTGTTTCTGATTCTGATATTGTCATATTTTAGTTTTGGGATTCAGACATTGTAATTGTGTGGTTGATGGATCCTGTTTGTTAAGCGAGAGGTACAGAAGACAAACAGGCTGAGCTCGCACTTTCTTGTTCTTGTGGTTTTACAGCAACATCACGTCTTGGTCTCTTTGCAGTGGAAGGTGTTTCTTGGTGAACAGCTGGTGCCTTTTGCTTTGGCGTTGAGTTTTTAAATTTGTAACCGAGGTTGAGTGAGGGATCGGGATTTTGCTTTGATGATGCTCCACATACAAAATGTTCACTGCAAACTCGGGATGATTTCTTAGACAGCCAAAGGTTTCCTTTTTCATCCTTCACAGTTCACTATTTTTCAATTCCGTTGGGAAGGGAAACAGTTTGAATGGAGGTTTGCAGTCACACAGATCTGATTCCCTTTTGCAGTTATGGAGTTCGCAAATAAATTTCTCGAGCTGGTTTTCGCTGTTAGGATCCAACAACCACACAATTACGATGTCCGAATCCCAAAACTAAAATATGACAATATCAGAACCAGAAACAAAAGCGATATAGTTCAAAAGACTTGAAAAGACTGGCTTGGCAAACTCTTGGTCTGTAAACAAAAGCTAATAACATAAAATATTGGAAGACCAAATTAATCTCATTGGTCGATGTGCATTTGGTTTGATAATGTGCAGAGGTAAATCCCACTCCAACACCAGTAAGAGAATGTTACATTTTCATTCCAGTTAGGAACTTGAAAAAACAGGTTAAAAAATCCTACCCTCCTTCTTCACAGTTTTGTGTAAAGTGCCAGTGGAAGTTCTCTTAAAGAAGTGGTTCTCAAACTGTGGGTGAGGGCCTAAAAAAGGGTGCAGAGTGTTTCAGTGCAGTACAGTTTGCTTGGCTTTGCAGTAGGCAGATCATTTTGACTTGGTCATTTTATGCAGGGCTCTAGTTCATGAGTTAGTTTCAGCGAGGGTGGCATCGCTTTCATCATAGTGTCTTGTACGGACTAGAGGCAAAATGCAAATGCAAAACAAACCATTTTTGAGAAACACTTTGAGAAACACTAGAATAAAGCTAGAAGTTTAGTCATAATCATTTATTTGATTGCCTTTTGAAGTTATTTGTACATGTGTGCATTTTGAGCTTTGGAGATGCAGACAGACTAATAATAAAGTGTTACTGAAATATCTGTGAATGAAACAAAACACAAATTTCAGTTTTGTTTTCGAGGAGGTAAAAATTTTATAACATGGTTTAAATCTCTTCAACAAAATTAAAGCCAAATTTATTTGACACAGTTATTTTATGCAAATAAATAATAACAAACAAACTAAAAATAAACTAAAAAGATGAACTAAAATGCAAACTTATATTTTGAGAAATGTCCAAACAAACAGACAATGAAACATGTGAAAAGTCTCTGGTCTCTATTATTAGAAAGCAGAGAGTGAGACGGATGAGAGGAGCTCATGTCAACACCAGCACACACACACCGACTGGACTGTCCCACTCAGGAACGAGGGAGCGAGGGAGGAGAGAAAGAGAGAGGAGGAGGAGAGGGAGAGAGAGGAAGGAGGAAAGCAGAGAGAGAGACAAAAAATGGAGGAGGAAAAGAGTGAGAGAAACAGGGAGTAGGAGCAGGGAGGAGAGAAAGGGAGAGGAGCGAGGGAGAGAGGATGACAGAAGAGGTTGAGAAAGAGAGGGAGAGAAGAAGGGAGGAGGGGGAGACATAGACAGATAAGAGAAAGAGCGGGTGAGGGAGTAAGAAGAAGAGGCTTGAAAGAAAGAAAGAGAGACAGAGAAAGGAGGGAGTATAGGGATGAAGAGAAAGAGAAATGGGAGAGGAGGAAGAGAGGATAGAGGGGGGAGAAAGAGAGAGTAAGGAGAGGAGAGGGAAAGGGCGAGAAAGGGGAGAGAGAGAGAGAGAGAGAGAGGAGAGGAGAGAAGGAGAGGGAGAAGAGGGGAGAGAGAAAGGGAGAGGAGAACGAGAGAAAGGGAGAGGAGAAGGAGAGAAAGGGAGAGGGAGGAGAAAAGCAGAGAGGGGGAGAAGAGAGAAGGAGGAGAGGAGGACAGATCTAAAGTGGAGAGAGAAAGATTGAGAGAGGGAGAGAAAAGAGACAGCGGAGAGGGGGTAGAGAAGGAGAGGGAGAAGAGGGGAGAGAGAGAGGAGAAAGAGAGAAGAGGGAGAGGGGGAGGAGAAGGGAGGGAGAAAAAGAGAGAGGAAGGAGAAAAGCAGAGGGGAGAAGAGAGGAGGAGGGAGAGAAAGGGCAGAGGAGAGGAGGACAGATCTAAATCGGAGAGAGAAAGATAGAGGACAGGAGGAGAGAAAGAGACAGGGGAGAGGAGGAGAGGGGAGAAAGAAAGAGAGAGGAGAAAAGAGAGAAGAGAGGGAGAGAAAGAGAGAGAGAGGAGACAGAGGAAAGGAGAAGGGGAGGGAGAGGAGAGAAGGAGGGAGAGAAAGGGAGGAGGAGAGGAGGACAGATCTAAAGCGGAGAGAGAAAGATAAAGAGGACAGGAGGAGAGAAAGAGACAGGGGAGAGGAGAAGGGGAGGGAAGAGGAGAGGAGGAGGGAGAGAAGAGAGGGAGAGGGAGGAGAGGGGAGAGAAGAGGGGAGGAGGGAGAGAAAGGGAGGAGGAGAGGAGGACAGATCTAAAGCAGAGAGAGAAAGATAAAGAGGACAGGAGGAAAGAGACAGGGGAGAGGAGAAGGGGAGGGAAGAGAAGAGGAGATGAGGAGGGAGAGAAGAGAGGGAGAGGGAGGAGAGGGGAGAGAAGAGGGGAGGAGGGAGAGAAAGAGAGAGGAGAGGAGGACAGATTTAAATCGGAGAGAGAGAAAGATAGAGAGGACAGGAGGAGAGAAAGAGACAGGGGGAGGAGAAGGGGAGGGAAGAGAAGAGGAGATGAGGAGGAGAGAAGAGAGGGAGAGGGAGGAGAGGGAGAGAAGAGGGGAGGAGGGAGAGAAAGGGAGTAGGAGAGGAGGACAGATTTAAATCGGAGAGAGAAAGATAGAGAGGACAGGAGGAGAGAAAGAGACAGGGGGGAGGAGAAGGGGAGACGAGGGAGAGAAAAAGAGAGGGAGGGGAAACGCAGAGAGGGGGAGAAGAGGGGAGGAGGGAGAGAAAGGGAGGAGGAGGAGGAGAGGAGGACAGATCTAAAGCGGTGCAGCTGCAGACTCGAAAAACCTCACCACACACACAGACGGAGAAGCTTTGAAGCAGCGAAGAGAGACACACACGGGTCTGAGTCACCAGTGTCTGAAAACGCCAGGACCGCCTGCACCTGCCCACCCACCCCCGTCTCCACCAGGACCCCTCTGCACCTGCCCAGTCTCCGCCAGGACCCCTCCGCACCTGCCCACCTGCCCCGTCTCCGCCAGGACCCCGTGAATCACAACAGGATGACGGTAAGACGCAGCCGACGCACGCACGCAATTTCAAACACACAAAACAACACTTTACTCATCTCTTTGAGCGTGTTTGAGGTTTACAGCAGCGGAAACGGTTCAGTGGTGTTGCTTAAGGTGACTCAAATTTCAGTCGAATCTTGGAAGTGTAAAAATATGTGTAGCTTTGATGGTGGTTGAGGTTTTTTTGGAGTCTGTTTGTGGGTGATTTTTGGATTACTCAGATTCAGACATCAAAACATTAGACATTTGCAGAACTGATTTGGTGTTACATGAAACACATCTATAATCAGTGATGGAATGTCATGAAGTATTTTAGGTTTCTGTACTTTACTAAAGCAGATTTTGAACGGGATACTTTTTACTTTTACTTCACTACAGATTTCTACTTCACTACATTTTTGAACAGGATTGAAAAAGTAAAAGTAGATTTTGATTACTGTGTGAGACCTGCTGAAAAGGCTGAGGGGTTTAATGTCCACAAGCTGAGCAAAAAAACAAACAAAACAACAACAAACAAACAAAAAAAAAAATAATAATAATACAAAAAATACAAAAAAAACCTAAGAAAACTTCAGTTGTTTCTGTTGAACAAATTTCAGCAGAATTGTTTGCTCAAAAATTCGCTCAAAATCACTACATTTTGAGCAAACTTGTGCAAAAAAGATTTTTTTCATGCAGTATTTTTACTTTTACTTGCATATTTTTTGCTCCAGTGTCTGTACTTTTACTTAAGTAACAAAATTGAGTACTTCTTCCACTGTGTCTATAATAAACATAAAGTTGTGTGGTGTGTGGTTGCCATGGTACCCGCAGATGTTTCAAATGGACCAGTATTAACTTTGCAGTAGAGTTCATGTTGTTTAGAGTTGTTGTAGTAATTTAAAGCTGCACTGCGTACCTTTTCTGGTGTTGGGTCAATCAGCCACCTGCTTATTGCATGAAGAGTTTATTGCTGTGACTGGAATGTTCCAAGGTATGGCATTAAACGTATCCAGCTTGCGGATATTCAGTTACCCGAGTTGTTATTGCTAAAATCAAATCTGAAAACCATGCGTTCTTACCTTGCATTGGGTCGCCTCTGCTTAGATCTGACTTGTAACTCTAAGATACACATGCTTGTCCCCATAGCACATCTGTAATTGTAAAAAAAAAAAAAAAAAAAAAAAAAAAAAGTTCTGTGATATGAAAATTTGTTTTGAATTGCAACTTTTTAACTTTTCTGGTGGATTCTGTTACCTCTTCGTTTCCATGGATATGCCATTGTTTTGTCCTGAATGCTCCACAGTATTGCATTAAATCTATCTCCATGGAGACGAAAATTGACACCACTAAGACAAGTTACACATCAGGTCTGTGGAGAGGCAAGCCTGGCTGCAACTGAATAAACGCAAGATAGATGAATTTATTGCTACTCGAAATGGGGAAAAAAAATCAAAAGAAAGACCCTCCACCAGAAAAATTACACAATGCAACTTTAAAAATCATAGTACTCAAAGCTTTACAACTAGTATTAACAAATATTTGCATACACATACATAAGTTAATAAGTTATATAGTTGAGCTGCTAGTTGAAAAGGAATCTACATTGCAAACTGTAACATGCTTTAAGTTACAGAATCTTTATTAACCAAACGCCACACATACCACAGTATAATTTTATGCGCTCATTAAAAGTCTACGGTGTGAAGTCTGGGCGCTGGACTTCACAGAGACATTCTATCCACACACCGGCTCCCTATGGTCTTATTTGTTTATGGCTTTGTTTATAGAGATTAACTATTTCCAGGCTCAGATTCAGGGCATGTTGCAGTTACGTAGATCCAGTTTGGACCGGTCAGTCTGGGTCTTATGTAACGGAGACCGCAATGGGACGTCCTGCAGAGAGAGGGCCCCGGTCACCTCATCTCTCCGCACTTAAACCCCACCGACTCGAAGTATGGGAGACATTTAGCTCACTGAATACCAGGTTAACTCCTCGTATGCCAGGCTTAGACAGACGGGGCACTAACAGCTACAGACTGATTGTAGCTGCTTAAAGAATGTCAGTGTTGAAATGAAACACAGTTTCTGTGGAGCATGAAATGATAATGATAAGAGAGAGACAAAGAGATACTTTGTTGATCCTGAGGTCTTAGTCAAAGTTCTCAGTGCAGCTCGACAGGAGGACTGGTCAGGTAGGGTCAGCAGATCTGTGTCAGGGCATTTGGGGAGAGGAAGAACAAAAAGTTTCCCTCCTCTGTGCCCTGCAGCATCACAGCTGTGTCCAGGGGGAGACAGGTGAACACAACAGGGAAGGTCTCATGGTCTCATTCTTGCTCCGCTCTGGTGTTTTATTTGGTGAAGAAATGATCCATTCCCTCAGTGTTTCCTCTGGAAGGTCCTCTACCACATTTGCTGCCACACAAGGTGTAAAAACAGCCTGATTCATTAGCCGGATTCACTTTGTGGAAACCGTCTGACCTCACAGCATTAGGATTCGTTTGCTCAACGGTAGGTGGGTACTTTTTAATTTAACCAATCGGTGCTATTTGGTAGTCATGTATGTAATGCGCCACTAACGGGGTTAACTCAAATCCCGTAGGAAGAAGGGCAATAACGTCTTTCCTCTTGATAAAATTCACCAAACATTCTTTTTGTTCTGGCATGAAATCCTCAATCTCATTTTACCAACAATGGCCATTACTGAGAACGTAATACACGAAGATCAGAGCAAGTACGTGCGAACGTGTGGCTCCAGAGTGAGTCAAAATTGGGGGTGCGCACACACGACCACAGAGACGACCCGGTGTTCCCCGTGATCACGCAGCAACCAACATTTGTTATTTTAGGCTTTAATTAACCAAAATAATTTTATGGCAATAGGCAATCGCCCATTCAATTGATACAACTTTAAAAAGTCCCTGCTTTTAGCCTAGTGTGAGAAATACAGTCGGACTAGATCCAAACCAGAGTCCCGAACCAGCGGGGGCAGCTCCGGTTCAGGCCGGGCTCAGAGGAGCTGGAGCGGGGAGCCTCGACCTGAGGAAGCGCTTTCCCCGGGAAGAACCAAATGCGCCAAGGACGAACGCTCAGAACAACATATAACAAACCAAACTGGACTCACGCTTCTGTCCGGATGCTGCACCACCTCGGAACCAGCTGCGGTTCTTGAGCGCGGAGGACAGGAGCAGCGCGCCCGGACCTGTAGTCCACAGCGCTTTTCCCGCACGGAAACAGCGCGCAGACGACTGAACGTACCCGCTCAGACCCAGTCCATCAAACACTGGTCTTTCTCGCCAACGTTTGGAACCAGCACATGGAGGATGAAGCCTCCGGACCATCTGACCAACGAGCTTGTAACAGAAGACCAAGGACCAGACCCCAGTCCCGTCCTAAGGAGCTGCACGCTACTTTGAGCGCTGTTGGCTGCTGCTGTTACCCGAACTCTGGGCTGATGCGGTGAGTTTGTACAAAGTTCTACATGTTGCTGTTTTATGAGTTCATGGTGATAATTTGAGATGAGGATGGCCCGTGGTATTAACAGGAACATCGGTGTGGATAACTGGAGTATCGCTGTTTTACCGGGGAAACAGAGACACGTGAATCGAACCAGTTTTGGTTTGTTTGCCGGTGTGAAAGCGGACCACACTGGAGTGTATCTGCTACATAATAACAACTTTATTGCCTGGTGCGAACCAAATAATCGAACTAGCGGTGTGAAAACGACCTAAGCCACATAAAAAAACAAAGATAAAAATGGTCCGTATTTATCCATTTCACATTTTTAAAGTGAATTAAAAGCAACTGTTTTGATTAGATTTACTTATGTTTTGTTAATGTGAATCTACTTATAAAATGCAGGTGGAAAAGATGACATTATAAATCTTCTTAAGTAATAACTTTTTAGAGTGTGCAGTGAACTCAAATTCCGATATAAACGGACGGAGCTGCATAAAGCTGGCATACCATTAACTCTGGGTGTAAATGTTTTTATACGTTTTACTTTGATTTTTCAAATTACAGTAAAATGTGTAGACTTGGAAACATGCACTTTGTTTGGGGTAATTAACATATACTGACACTTTGTTGACACTAGTTTAGTACATTCCCAGCTGCACTTGTGGAGTGTGAATAACTGGCCCATTAGAGAAGGGCCGAAATACTGAGAAGGTCAAAGGTCACGCAGCACTAAGACCCCCTATACCCCCTATACTGATGAGAAGATTAGACCCTCTGCAAATGACATAACACTGTACTATATCTGTGGGTTCTATCTGTTATCTCACGTACATTAGGTTTTAATTGAGTTTCCTATTTCGGAAAAGTCCATTGACCGCGATGCTTTGAGCTTTGTTTCGTCAGCTGTAATTGAAGTGTGAAGGAATGTTGTTTATCTCTCAAAATAGTGTCTCAGTGTTACTCATGTTCAAACCATCATAAACAAATGTCGTAGTATGTTGACAGACAGACCATAATAATCTGTTGATGGTGATCTATTAAAAGGTGCATTGTGTAACTTTTTTGGTGGAGGGTCCGGCAAATGCTTTTCTCCGTGGAGATGTTATTGCTTTGTCTGGAATGTTTACACCTTGGGTCAGTCCGTATGAAATCAGCTGCTTTCAAGGAATCTCCCTTATGAGCCATCTCAGATTTGGCTGAAAAAAATTCTAAAAATTTCTAAAATGACCAAATGAAAGAATCTAAAATTTTAGTTCAATCCCTTGAGTCATTTCTGAATTATGGCCTGTTGAAATTTGGAGCCATCACTTTTTCTGAAGCCTTAATTTATAAGCATTTTGGAGAGATCATAACTTCATAAAAAATAGAGCTAGGAAGCTGAAAATTTGTATTATTATATTTGTATTATTGTAGATTCTCGGTCATAGATTCTAAATCTGTTGTCAAATATTGGGTATCTTTATGTGTCATATGTGTCATAGTGTCATATGAACCATCTCGCACTCTGAGGACCTCAGGGACCGGCCTCCTGCTGGTGCCCAGAGTCAAAACTAAACAAGGGGAGTCAGAGTTTCAGGTTCATGCAGCTAAAACCTGGAACAGTCTTCCTGAACATGTGAGACAGACTCTTCTGTGACGCTGTTTAAATCCAGACTCAAAACATTTCTGTTTAACTGTGCATATAACTGAAAGGTTTTCATTCCACACTCTTCTCTCCAATTTATGTCTCTCTTTTTTTTTTAATTTTAATCTTCATGATTATTTATGTTTTGATTTGTTTTTATTATGATTTTAATGTATTTCTTATTCTGTAAAGCACTTTGAATTACTTTGTGTACGAATTGTGCTATACAAATAAACTTGCCTTGCCTTGCCTTTATGAAGGGAGGTGCTGTGGGCCCCCAAAATCTCAAATTTGGTTGCCCCTCAATTATTATTTTTTTCTTTCTATCTTCAAGGAAACTAAACCAGACCAAATTACAGGTCAGATCTGTGGAGCGGGAACCCCGGTTGCAGTCAGAATGCTTGTTTTTGAGCTATAAAACCACCTTTATTTAAATGCTAGAGCTGTTTAATGTCATATTGTGGAACATTCCAGACAGACGTATCCATAGAAACATTCAGGTGACAGACCCTCAACCAAAAAGTTACACAGTACACATTTATACGTCCTATATTACAGAAAATTGATTCTTTAAGCCATGTTATTATGTTGTTACCTCCTCAAAAACATCCCTGGAGTTGTGTTGTCATAGCAAAAAAATAAAAAATAAAAAAAATAATATATAAATGTCCTTGTTTCTTCACCACTGCATGTGTTATTTTGGACAATTTCACATTAGACATTCCAAATTTGCCTGTTATTATAAACACTGTGGAAAACATTTTGAGTATTTCCAATTTTGAGATTTAATTTGAAATAATTTGCAATTCCAGTATTATGATTTGCTTTTATTAGACATTTATAACATTAAAATAGAAATTAAAAAAGCACTTCACAACACATCCTAATAAAGGTAATGTATTTTTATATCTTTTGTAGACCAGTTTGGTATTTCACATATAATTACTCAAACACGCATGAATTAAACAAAGTAAAACTCCCGCAGACCACACGCAGAACAGTCGTGTGTACTTTTAATAACATATGTTGTATAATTAGAAGTGGGGGCAGGGGGAGAGAGCGGGATGTTTCCACACAGCTGTTGGGGCTCACACAGGGATAACACTGGGATCTGGTGTCAGTACAGAACAACAGCAAGAACGTCATTACGAGTCATTATTTGGACCCAAACACAGGGCTGGGAATGCAAGGACCATTCACACAGAGAGAGGAGATAACACAATGTGATGGCTCTTATGGATGGGTCAAATGCAAAGGAGAAATTTGACCCATCCATAAAGATTACAGGTATATTTTAAGTCTTACCCACTCCACAAAACACCCGAAGCAAAACACTTATTACACAAGACTGTCGATGTGAATGTCTGTGTCAATAGAATAAATTTAGAAGTAAAACCAACCTTGCATTTGAACGATTTATGTCTGAGCAGCAGCAGTGAGTTGTACTTCCTGATAGAAAGCTTGGCAACGGCGGACTGATATATGAGAAAGTAGTCCCTCAACATGCAACGATTCATGTGATGCAAGGTTAGATTTATTTCAAACATTATTCTATCAACACAGACATTTACACTGACAGTCTGGCGTAATAATAGATTTGCTTCGGGTGTTTTGTGGAGTGGGTAAGACTGTTTTTAGTGGCAGGCTAACTATGGCCATTGACATGCACTAGCCTAGCACCAGCGACCTCTGCAAATACAAGGACTGGATGGAATATTTTAAAACATGTCTCCACACATCTCCAACACTCTAGGAAACTCACTAAGAAATGAGGTCCTATGTCCAAAATTCCAGGACCCAATGCTGAGTTTCAGGTACATCACATTCTATAAGGTCAAACATATTTAAAGGTTAGTACACAAAATTTGCCTGGAGTTGTGTTTTGTTTCATTCACACATGTTTGAGTAATCCTTTATTATTAGTCTGTCTACATCTCCAAAGCTCAAAATGCTCTGTTCCACCTCGTGATATCATGAAGTGGTAGTTTTCAAGTTAACAGCTACTTTTTTTTTTTTTTTTTTTTTACCTTTGTTTTAGTAGAGATTGGCTGAAATCATCCAAATTCAAGCCAAAGATGTTCATTTTGTCTTCTTATATACTTTAACTTCTTGGGTTCTTTTTAAAGACAATGCAGTAAAGTGTATTTACCTTGGTGACATGTTTCGGCTGCTAGCTGCAAGCCATCTTCAGAACTCTTACCGGTGTTGGTAGTGAAGATGGCTTGCAGCTAGCAGCCGAAACATGTCAACAAGGTAAATACACTTTACTGCACTGGCATCCCAATTCAAGGTTCAAGGTCTTTATTTGTCATTCACGCATGTGAGAGAAAAACATCACAGAATGAAATGTGTTCCTCGAGGCCCAGTGATTAAGAGAGACAAAAACAACAATGACTAAGCAATATTCAAAAGTACATCAAAAGCATTTAGCAGTTCCAACAGACAAGTACAAGTAAAACATTTTCCAAGATAAAGAGGCAGCCTAAGCAGGAAGTCAGAGTGCACTGTTCAAAATTCTAATTATTCAAAATATTCTAGTGAACATGTATGGACTGTAAAAACAATGTGGAGCACTTCATCTTACCACATGACATTGAAAGTGTTTGAGAGAAGAATCAAAGGTAAAAGTAAACTTGAAAACTACCGTCTCATGACATCACAACATAGAATAGAGCATTTGGAGCTTTGTAGATGCAGACTAATATTATAAAGGATTACTCAAACATGTGCGAATGAAACAAAACACAACTGTAGTTATGTTTTTGAGGAGGTAACAACATGATAACCTGGCTTAAAGCTCACAAGTCAATTAATATAATGTAGGATAATGATATAGGAGCTTTAAATCTTATTGGACTATAGAATGTTGTGATGGCATCTGTAATCCTGCAATAACAGCCTTGAGTTTACTATGTCTTTGAAGTGTCTTGCTCATGTGCATTCCAACAATATGCTCTAGCTCAAAGTAGAAATTGCACCGACAACCATCTGGTCCTTTGGCAGCCTGCTTGAGCTCCTGTGGCACGCTGTATTCTTTTACCGTCTGAACAAATGACCTCTCCGTTTGGCAGCGCTTTTTTAATGACAGACGATAAAATGTGAGCTATTGAAATGCTTGAGTGTTAAATCGACGCTAAAGACTTGCGGGTATTTGGACAGTGTCCCGGAGGACAGGGTTACCGAGGGGACACTGGACCCTGGACATAAACACGTCTGATAATAGAGTCTCAAATCCACACAGCTCCAGAGAGAAAGAGAGAGGGAGAACAGAGGGAGAGAGAGAGAGAGAGGAGAGGGCAGAGAGAGAGTGATGAGAAGGCAGAAAGAGAGGAGAGGGTTAGAGGGAAAGATGGGAGAGAGAGCAAGGGAGAGAGGAGAGGGCAGAGAGAGTGAAAGATGGGAGAGGGAGAAAGAGAAAAAGAGAGAAGGGGGCAGAGAGAGAAAAGAGGGAAAGATGGAAGAGGTAGAAATAGAGAGAGAGAGAGATGAGAAGGCAGAGAGAGAGGAGAGGGTCAGAGGGAGAGATGGAAGAGGGAGAAAGAGAGAGGGAGGGAAGAGAACAGAGAGAGAGAGGAGAGGGTTAGAGGGAAAGATGGGAGAGGAAGAAAGAGAAAGGGAGAGAGAGAGAGAGTGATGAGAAGGCAGAGAGAGAGAATAGAGCTAGAGGGAAAGATGAGAGAGGGAGAAAGAGAGCACGAGGAGAGAGAGAGGAGAGAGTGGTGGCAGTGAGAGGGGGAGGGAAAGAGAAGAGAGGAAAGAGAAAGAGGAGATGGTAAGAGAGGGAAAAAGGGAGAGAGAAAAAGAGAGAGCGCAAGAGAGAGATGGAGAAAGAACGAGAGAGAGAGAGAGAGAGAGAGAGGGAGATGGGGTGGGCAGAGCGGTGGGGGGCAGAGAGATAAAGGAATTTAAAGAGAAAGATGGGGATAGAAAAGGAGAGAGATGGTAAAGAGAGAGATAGAAAGAGAGAGAAGGAGTAACAAAGAGAGAGAGAAAGTGAGAAGGAAAGAGGAAGGAAAGAGGTGAAGGGGAAGGGTGGGTGAGCGAGAGCGAGAGGGGTAGAGAGAGGATTAGAAAGAGAGTTTGAGAGAGGGAAAGATGGCGGAGAGAGGGAGAGAACCAAAGAGAGAGGTTCCCAGTACAGCACAAGGGAACCAAACCTCAGATATTGACTTGGCTTGGGGTTAGGTAGGGCATCTGGCTTAAAAAACCTAAATCAGTTCACCACACATAGGTTAGGCTGGCTGAAGAACTTAAAAGTCTTATCGAATATTTTGTGGGTTTCATCATGTCTGTGGCCCGAAACCACCACCAAATTCATACAGGCAAAAATGAAGTGCCTTGCTCTAGGACACAAGATCAGCTTTCCTCATCGCTTACATTATAAAACATGTTGTTATCTGGTGTGTTGACCATATCATCATCTTTCTGTGTTTAGGCGGCGACGAAGCTCCTGGACGAGATGTGCTTGTTGACGGCACAGTCTCTGATCTCCATGGAAACGGCAGATCACTTCCAGGTCCTGAAGATGTTAGGAGAAGGGTCCTACGGGAGGGTCATGCTCGCTGTGCACAAGAAGAGAGGTAGAAAACTACTCTCTTTACTTTGCCACGTTACGCTACATTATTTTGGATTTAAAATGTAGGTTTATTCTATCTATCTATCTATCTATCTATCTATCTGTGTTTCCTGCAGGCACCCCAATGGCCCTGAAGTTCTTCCCCCGTGAGTCCACCTCCATTGTGTCGTTCCTTCGAGAGTATAACCTCTCTCTTTCCTTCTGCACCCATCCCTCACTCACCCGCGCCCTGGGCATCGCCTACAGCACCCCCTCACACTACGTTTTCGCCCAGCAGGCCAGTCTGTTTGGAGACCTCTACGACGTCATTATACCCGAGGTAAGAATAGCACTAAACAATACAAGAGCTACACACACCTTGCACAATTTGGTCAAAATGTTCAATTTTGAATTTTGAAAGGGCTAAGAACTGAAAATTCACAACTTGGTTCAAATTTGCACACATTCTCAAATAGTCATATTCATTTATTTTGTGCAAACTTGAACTTGTAACGATAATTATATTACCTTCCATTTCATTGCCCTTATAGCTTCATGACTATGAGTAATTTTTGGCATTAGTAAATTTCATGTTTCATTCTACTCTCCAGACACTGCTGCATCTGTACATGTCATTAATTCTGTCTTCAGCCAATGAAAAAAACACAAACCTATTAACACAGGCAGTTTATTTTTGGTCACATTTTTATGTAGCACTTTTCCACCTGCAGTGTTTTACATCAAGGAACAACTCACCCATTCACACACACATTCATACACTGGGGTAAAGTGGGTTAAAGGGACAATCTGGAATTTTGGACATAGGACCTCATTTCCTAGTGAGCCAGAGTGTTGGAGATGGGTGGAGACACTTTTAAAAATATTCCATCCAGTCCTTGTATTTGCAGAGGTCGCTGGTGCTAGGTTAGTGCATGTCAATGGCCATACTTAGCCTGCCACTAAAAACAATCTTAACCAATTCACAAAGCACCCAAAGAAAATCTATTATTACTGCAGACTGTCAATGTAAATGTCTGTGTTGACATCAAAATTTTAGAAGTAAAACCAACCTTGCATTTGAAGGACATAAGTCTGAGCATCAGTAGCTGATAGAAAGCTTAGCAGCGGCGGACTGATATCACCTAGCACCTATCTTACCAGCAAAGTAAAATTCCGCTGCTGCTGAGAAAATAGTCCCTCAACATGGGAACGATTCATGTGATGCAAGGTTAGTTTTATTTCAAACATTATTTTATCAACACAGACATTTAAATCGACAGTCTGGTGTAATAATATATTTGCTTCGGGTGCTTTGTGGAGTGGGTAAGACTGTTTTTAGTGTCAAGCTAACTATGGCCATTGACATGCACTATCCTAGCACCAGCGACCTCTGCAAATACAAGGACTGGATGGAATATTTTTTTTAAAAAGTGTCTCCACACGTCTCCAACACTCTGGCTCACTAGGAAATGAAGTCCTATGTCCAAAATTCCGGACTGTCCCTTTAAGTGTCTTACCAAAGAACACAACAACAGCATTCATCTTGGGAGCTGGAACTGCACCACAAACCTGTTTATCAAAGGATCTGACCACTCAACCAATGATGTTTATGTTGAGGACAGCATTTGAATTTGCAGCCTTCTGATCAGTGGACAAAACGTTCTACGAAAAGAGCTACTGTCTCCCTGCTTCTGTATTTTTAGGAGCGGTAAGATACTATTGTGTAGCCACAGCTGCCCTGGGAGAAACAAGGCTGCCAATCCATGCCATTGTCACTCAGACCCCCACCAGTCACTCAGATCATTCATATGAGACTTTACGTTGGTTTGGGAATCACTCTAAAACCACTGATCCATGTCTACATCACCCAGTCACAGTGGTACCATACTTCCTGACTGCAGTATTCCGTTTGTGTATTTGCTCTGGTGCAGGTGGGTGTGGAGGAGCAGACCTGTCAGAGGGTGGTCTCTCAGCTGTGTGGAGCTCTGTCCCACCTGCACAGTCTGGGCTTCGTCCACAGAGACCTGAAACCAGAGAACGTGTTCCTGTGTGATGCTGCCTGCCGCTGGGTCAAACTGGGAGACTTCGGCATGGTACGTGCAAAACATACGGGCTTTTATACAGGCTACAGCACAGACACTGATCCATGCACTTGCACTCGTGTACTGAAAGATTCATCTGTGTAGACTCTTTGTACCACTGGGCCATAAGAAACCACTGACTCATGCACTTTCATTCTTCTCAGATACAGGTGTAAGGTGGGCTTCCAGTAATACGCACTATACAATTACTCATCTAATACTGTAATAAAATAGTCAAACATTGTTCATTATGATCACTTCAGCTACTTTTTCTGACTATGAAAAAATACACACAAATATACAAAAAATATGTTTTTATTTATTTCTTCAGACTATTTTTTCTGTTGTACTCCTACTTACCAATTTTAGCATGCAAGCCTTTTAACTCATATAATGTGTAATATAAGATGACTGACTGACAATTTCAATTGAGATTAAAAGGACAGCTCGGAATTTTGGACATGGGACCTCATTACCTAGTGAGCCAGAGTGTTGGAGATGTTTGAAGACACTTTTTTAAATATTCTATCCATCCCGTCCTTGTATTGGCAAAGGTTGCTGGTGCTAGGCTAGTGCATGTCAATGGCCATAGTTAGCCTGCGACTAACCCACTCCACAAAGCAAAACAGTTATAAGGCCAGACTGTCGATGTAAATGTCTGTGTTGATAGAATAATTTTAGAAATAAACCCAAAATTGCATTTGAAGGATTTATGTGTGAGCAGCAGCAGTGAGTTGTACTTCCCGATAGAAAGCTTGGCAGCAGTGGACTGATATATGAGAAAATAGTCCCTCAACATGCAATAATTCATGCAATGCAAAGTTAGTTTTACTTCAAACATTATTCTATTAACACAGACATTTACATCGACAGTCTGACGTAATAACAGATCTGCTTGAGGTGTTTTGTTGAGTGGATAAGACTGTTTTTAGTGACAGGCTAACTATGGCCATTGACATGCACTATGAAATGAGGCCCTGTGTCCAAAATTCCAAACCCTTTAATAAACAGAACAATTAATTCTAGTCTGATTTTAGTGCAGTTGAAATTTATGGCAAGACTGTGTATTACTGTGGTACTTTTTAAAGGTCTTTATTATACAAAATTGATTCTTGTGAGCTTTAAGCCATGTTAGAATATTATTACCTCATCAAAAACATACCTGGAGTAGTGAGTTTGTTTAATTCGCACATGTTTGAGTAACCCGTTCAGAAGAGATTGTTAATTCTAGGGCTGAAAATATATTAATGATTCTACTGAAAGTGTATGGAGTTTAAAAACACATATGACATCACAAGGTGGAAGTTACACGTGATTAGCTTATATGACAAATGTTCCTCTTGGGTACAATGAAGCTATCTTATCGACTGTATGTCTTTTAAATCAAATCTCATTTTCCACCAGGTCAAACCCAGAGGCACTAAGGTCCCAGAGGTGTGGTATAGCTCTCCATACTGCCCCCCAGAGGCAGAGGTGGCTCGGTTTAACGCAGACAGCTGGAGCTCCGAAGGTGGAGGAGAGGGTGGAGGAAGAGAGGAGCGGCCCAAACGCGTGTGGGTCCCCGTGGAGCCCTACACAGACAGCTGGGCTCTGGGCATCCTCACCTATGCCATGCTAACAGGAAGCCATCCCTGGTCCGAAACGGCGAGCGACTGCAGATCCTATCTCAAATACAAGGAGTGGTTCGACTCTGAGAAAAGCCCAGAAGACGAGCTCGATGTTTGGGCTTGTGAAGGAGAGGGGCAGGGGCAAAAGATCCGTGGAGTTCCAATAGCCCCTCAGTTCAGCTGCTTTACCCCTCTGGCTTGTACGTACTTCCAGGCGTTATTAGACCCCAGGCCGAAGCACCGCGGAAAGCCCGAAGACATGCTGGCGTTCCTGGGAGGGGAGTGGATGAGGGAGGCGGAGAGGGAGAGGCTGGACCAGGAGAGACGGAGCAGATCAGCCGTCAGTAATGTCAAAGATCTGGAGGGGAGGAGAGAACGCTGAGAAACTTTGACAAACTTTGTTGAAACAAAAGAGGAATGACTTGGACACAGAAGCTCAAATACACAAAACAATTCAAACATCTTCTGAGTGCTTTTATGGCCTGCACTGGAAGGAGACAAGCAGCGATACCACCAAGTTAAGATGTCAGATTAGTGGACAGTAACAAGATTGAAAAGTTATAGGTTAAGCCATAGCATCTCAATGGAAACAGATAGAAGAGCGTTTAACAGAAAAGTTGACAGTGCAAAAAAAAGCTTCTGTAGCAATCCATCCATATTCATCCCTTCTCAGCAGTGCTGCCTTGGGTCTTCCCTGGGGTCTCCTCCCAGGAAGAGACACCCGAGCCTCAGCAGCTCCTCTTGACGTGAAGAAACAGCGGCTCTGCTCTGAGTTCCACCTCCTGTGTGAATGAACACCATCATCTTCAGTCGCCTACATACAAGAGCAAACGTTTTAGTCGTGTCTCCAAAGCGACTCCCAGGACACACACCGCATGTTTGTCCGTGTTCCGCAGTGCGCTCACCTGCGTCATGAAACGGTCCACTCCTGAGTGTTGGCTTTAAAAATTATGTCCATGTTATTGTTCGGGGCACTTGCATCTTCCAGCATGACAGAAACCATGTCTAATGCTGCAGCAGTATCAGCTCCTCTGCTGTTTAGTACACCCCCTTATATGATGCTAACAGTGCTCACTGGTTTACTGAAGTAGCATTCACAAAGCAGGATGATTGTTGGCAATATTCGTCACATTTTCACAGAGAAACCTGAAGTGGCTTATCAGCATGATTGGGGTGTAATATCTTTAAGCGACGCTGTAATTTATTTGGCTTCAGGCTGTCCATTGCCAACATTTTTAGACACAGTAAACACAGCGGACTTTCCTCATTTCCTGCCATAGTCACAGTGAAGCCGAGCGCTACATACACTTTACATACAGGTTGTTCTCTGCACTTCCTGCTCTGTGCTGTGTGTGTGTACGTTTGGTGCAAAAAACCTGACACTATAGCACTAATACTGCCTGTGCACACTCTGACAATGAGAGTGTCACTGCCAACTATTGTAGTGGATGTGCAATTACACTTTATTCTAGTACGGCAAAAAAATAAATAAATACATTTTTAAAAAAAAAAGCATGTTCCCCGAGGTCACATGCACCCCCTGGTATTGACCCACTATTTGAGAACTACTGCTCTAAAGTTACTTGTATCTGCAATCTAAAAACATACATTTATGGAGTAATCTGAAGTAGTCTACATTATGTTATGGACAGCTGAACTTCTAAGAATATTTTGAAATACTAGTACTGTGGACACCCAGGATTTTTGACCTTCCAGAGACAGTCTCACGTGGCCTTGGACTGGTCTTGGAAAGCACTGTTTTGTGGTGAGTTTTTTACATTCATAAAAAAGTTGTCATGGATATGAGTAAATGATCTGTGTGGTTCAAATATTTAAAACTGCATTAAAACCATATTTAAGTGTAACAGGTGCAGCGAGAGTGGAGAGCCCTGTAAATCCATTGGGGTTTTAAAACATGTAGTTCTATTTAGGTCTGTGAAATATACTGTGTGTCATATAGGAGGCTTGTAAACAGAGTGAAGAGATGTTACATAAAGTTGAAAGGGAAATGTCTGCCTAGTTTCACTGCAGTAAACTCCTCACACGGCAACACCTCAGTATCTCAAGTACAGATTTCAGCTATTACATTAAGTTGGACAATAACAAAAATTAATTATTATGACAATCAATGTGTTAAAACATTCCTTGAAAAATTGAATGTGCTGTAAGATTATTCAAAAATAATGCAGAAATATCACTTTATACCTGTGATTATTTTTCAATTTTGAACCGATTTTATGTGGTATACGGCGCTCAAAAATCTGTCAAACTGTTTTAGTACAACTTTGATAAACTACGAAGCCACACCACTTAATGGATTGTTGGAGCATTACGGCTACTGAAGTCAGGAGCCTCACAGAGTTGTGTCCTTTAGTCTGACAGAAGCTGACCGCATCAGCAGCACAAAGAGTGACCTGTTTTTTCAGCTCTTATATTTTATGCAAATTAGCCATGTGGTTTTAAATTTTGTTTCTGTAAACGTAAACAAATGTGCGTAAAGCTACATTAAACACATTATTACTCAATGTACATTTGAGTTCTCCTCGTAAGAAATAAAAAACTAACTTAAATTATCCACCCACATTCATAATCGACATTCACCAAGACAGAGAGACAACGCTGGGCGAATTACGCCACGATCTGCAAGTGGATCATGGATGTCTAGGCTAACAGATCATTCTCAAGTGTCGTCCGTTTGTTTCACTTAATGCGCCTTATAATCCAGTGCACCTTATGTATGAAATAAAAAAAATAAAAAAGGCGAAAGCGACTGACTGAAAAACTGCTAATGCGAGCAAGTCTAACAAGCCTCAGATACAGCAGTGCCTACAGTTACCATCACAGCCCCAGGGAATGCTGATGACGAAATTTTGCATGTATCCAAAACAATAATTTTAACTTTGATATATCTCCAACCATTTATGATATCAAAAAACTATGTATAACTTTAAAAACTACAAGAAAGAGAGAGAAACACAGTAAAAATTCACAATTCAGTTCTTTTATTTAAATGTATATATATATATTTTGCTGTGCAGTGTGAGCAGAGGATCTAATGTCACTGTGTTGAGTTTTAGCGTGAGTGTATGTGTTTATAAGTGTGATATACGTTTATACAGGGTTTATACAGACAGCACTTATTGACAGAGAGCACTAACAAACTGTAAATGTACAAATTTAAGAAATGCACATGTTTTTATAGCTCTGACCAGGATTTTTTGTCCATTCTTTTTCAGTTTTGTACAATCACACTTTTCTGGTGCTTTTAAATATGACTTCTACTTTGTGTTTTGCAACATTTGTAAATAAATGCTTTAATTTAACTGTCTTTGTATTTTGTTTGCCTGATATTGACTTTTACATCAGAAGCCCTACAATAGAAAAAAAAGATAAAGGGAAGATAAACGATAAATATTTTTAATTCAGTCTATTTTAGCAGTATACTTTCAGCATACAGTGATAGCATTTTATTTTTTGTAAGCATAGTTTTTTTCTTTTCTACAATGCCAGACATGCAGTTTACTATTACAATTAAGGTATAGAAATTCATCTGAAGAGCACAATTTGTATACAACACAACCATTTTAAGTGTTTTCTGGAACAGGAATGGGACAAACAAGTGGATGCATGTATTAAATGTGCTATATGACACAAAACATTGAGCTTAAAACTCTTGTGAGTTTTAAGCCATGTTATAATGTTGTTACTTCCTTAAAAAGTTGTGTTTTGTTTCATTCACACATGTTTAAGTAATGCTTTATTACATCTTTAAACCTAAAAATGCTCTGTTCTAACTTGTGATGTCATGAAGCGGTAGTTTTCAGGTTAACGGCTACCTTTTTAACTTTAGTTCAGTAGAGATTGGACATTCCAGGGCTGAAATAATCCAATTGATTCTAATAAAGGTGTGTAGAGTTAAAAACACAGTAGAGCACTTTTTGTATTACCACATGACATCACAAGTTGGAAAAGAGTATTTTCTGTTTAGAAGAACTCTGCTTAAATATGCAGGGTTAGTGTGGAAAATATGTGTGAATAAAACAAAACTTAACTCCAGGTATGTTTTTGTAGCCAGACTGGCGCCACCGAGTTCCTCTGCTCAATTTCATTTCTCTCCAGCGACTAGGTCAGGAATCAGAATACACTAGACAGTTCACAAAAACCACGGAAGTGCAAGTCAATCAGCAAAGAGCCATACATTCTGTGTTGGCAACGATTCCTGAGCTCGAGGATTTAAAGCCGGAACAAAGAGAATGTTTGGTGAATTTTATCAAGGGGAAAGACGTTATTGCCCTTTTTCCTAAAGCTTAATATACCAGTTAGCCCCATTAGCAGCATTACATATGTCACGACCAAATAGCAGCAACTGGTTAAATAAAAAAATACCTGCCTACTGTCACGCGAACGAATTCCAACGCTGCAAGTTCAGACGATTTCTCGAAGTGAAACCAGCTGATGAATCAGGCTAATATTTTGCTTCATTCACACATGTTTAAGTAATGCTTTATTACATTTCTAAACCTAAAAATGCTCTGTTCCAACTTGTGAAGCAGTAGTTCCCAAGTTAACAGCTACCTTTTCCCTGTAGTTTAGTGGAGCTTGGAAATTCCAGGGCTGAAATGATCCAAATGTGATGGTGTGTAGAGTTTAAAAACACACTGGAGCACTTTCTGTATTGCCACCTGACATTATATTTCCATTTGAGAGAAAAAACACAGCCTAAATATGAGGGTTTGTGTGATAAAAATGTGCGAATGAAACAAAACTCCAGGTATGTTTGTGATTAGGAAATAACGTTATAATATCGATCAGAAAATAGCGTCTTGGATCATTTGAACATAGCCAGAGCAGAGGCCTATAGTGAATGGTTCCTGGGCCATGTTCCACGCTCATTCTCTCAGTAGTAAACCAGCCACTACAGTCTGCTGTGTGGGCCAAAGCTACACCTGATCTGCGATGGCCGAGTGGAAAGAAGAAAGTGACGTAAGAGAACCTGAGAGCGGAGCCCGGGCCCGCTCTAAGAAAAGCTCAGACTCCTAAATAAGAGGAGGAGGGGGTGAAGAGGAGCCCCTGCTGACAGCACAGTGTATGTTATGTGTCCACTGCATGCCACATCACACTCTAGTGACCTTATTCTGCCCGCTCAGTTTCACCTCTGAATCCTACTACTGATACTTTACAGTGAATCGCGCCGGGGATGTTCTGTCTGTATGTACATGTGCCTGTGGTGGAATGTTTAGCAGTTACAGCAGAATGTTTAGCAATAACTACCAAAAAAGATTCAAGATTGTCTGAAAACTCATGCAGAAATACAAAAAACAACAAAAAAGGGGATGTTGATGACCTATCTTGTGGTGGCACTTCTGATTAAGTGGGAATCCTATTCATGTCAGTTGAGAATTTGAGTAAATTTAAACCACTAAACTATGATATAAAGTTGGTTAATTCGTGTAAAATGTTCAGTGTTCGTGTGCACCAATACGTCACACTGCACTGATTCTTTGGGAGGCTTTAAAACAGCTTTGTAGTCTGTATAGATTACACATACACTAATGGTCAAAAGTTTTAGAACACCCTAATTTTTCCAGTTATTTATTGCAATTCAAGTCATGCAAGTCCAATGAAGAGCTTTAAATGGTAAAAAGGTAAGAACTGAACAGACAGAGGTTAAAAAAAAGATAAAAGATAAAACACAAGTCCAAGCTCTGCCAAAACTACCTCAGGAAAAAAGAACAAGATAGTAAACTTGAAAACATGGAGTGTCCAGCACAGTGTCCAGACATAAATCTTATTGAGCTGGTTTGGGATGAATTAGACAGAAGAGTGAATGCCAAGAATTTTTATTTTTATTTATTAAATATTTTACCAGGTAAGTCGGTTGAGAACAACTTCTCATTTACAATGACGTCCTGGCCAAGGGACAGTATAAAATAGAAGCACAAACAGAAAACACTCACACATCAACCATAACATGAAAAAGTGAATAGAGATATAAGACAGTGAAACATTAAAGATATAAAACTGTTAAAAACATGTGCAATTATCCTGTAAAATACTCTGTATGGAGTTTTTAAAAGTTGACAGAGGTACAAAGAAACAAAGTTTTAAAATCTGTTGACGGTGGTTCTGAAACTGTGTGGGCTTTAGGAATGACCAGGGTTATGTATCTGTTGAAGCGCAGTGTGCATCTGGAGTTGTGCCACACATTTATGGGAACTTCTGCAACAGACTTGGGTAGAACTTCCTGAAGAATATTTGATTTTTATTGTAAAAAGAATGAGCCATGAGTGTGTTCAGCTGTTCTATCTGCCAAAGATGAACACTTTCATGAATCAAAAGTTTAGAAAACAGTAAAAAACTGGAAAAAGTGTGGTGTTCTAAAACTTTTGACTGGTAGTGCATCTGCTGTGAGATCGTAAGCCCCATGTAAAAATAATATAACCCAAATGACGATGGGTTCTCTGAGAAATTGGAGATAATATTCCAGAGTATAAGGTGATAGAACTACAGATCATATTTTTAGTCAGCCCATAGATTCAGAATGACAAACGATTAGGACCTTTGCTGTAGCGGTTAACAACTGAAAACTAAATTTTACATCTTTTAAATTGCAAAAAAAAAATCCTCAAAATGTTGCATATACCAACAATCTGAAATGCACAAACAGGAAATAGAAACATTTCATTTAAAAGTGCACTTGCTTGTCACCATAGAGATATTCTTTTTTCTTGCCAAAAATGTTCCCACAGTATGGCATTAAACTTACTGGCTCTGTGGAAACAAGCAAATGATGGCACTAGGCCAAGTTACAGCTCAGATCCGTGGAGAAGTGTCCCCACTCTTAGTATGAATGCATGTTTTTTTCAAGTTTTTTAGCAGTAACAATTGAATATGATATGTTTCAAGTCATGCTGTGGAACATTTCAAGAAAAGCAAACATGTCCATGGTGACAGGTGACTGATCCTCTACCAGAAAAGCTCCACAGTGCACCTTTAAGACTATTCAGAGGTAAAATGCCTTGTTACAAGCTTGGTTGTTTCACACATTGTTGACCTTGGTGGTTGGTGACACGTTCGCTCTTAAATCACACCGTCAAGTGCAAGGCTCATGTTTCCACAGAGACTTCAAACAGACAGTGCCTTTGACCTTCGACCTGTGACCCTTTGTAAATCACAGGCACACGAACCCTGCATCAGCACTTCCTGTCTGTGCATCTATTCAAACTCATCAATATTACGACCCTGACCGCCCAGACTGTACGCACGAGCTGCACTTCACTTTGGACCTCTGCTCTGGTTTAGTTTAGACGCTGTGTAGGCCTGGTTTGGTGGCTCTTCTAGTCCTGGTTTAGTCCCAGTCCAATCCTGGTTTAGTCCTTGTTTAGTTTCCATTTAGTCCTGGTTTAATCCCTGTTTACTTAATGGACTTGTTCTGGTTTAGTCCTGTTTTAGTGCTGGTCTAGTCCTGTTCTAGTCCTGGTATAGTGCTGTTTTAATCCCTGTCTAGTCCTGTTTTAGTCCTGGTTTAGACCTGGTTTAGTCCTGGTTTAGTTCTGGTCTAATCCTGGTTTAATCCCATCTAGCCCTGGTTTAGTCTTGGTTTAGTTCTGCTCTAGTCATGGTTTAGTCCTGGTTTAGTCCTGATTTAGTTCTGCTCTAGTCATGGTTTAATTCTGGTCTAATCCTGGTTTAGTCCTGGTTTAGTCTGTTTAGTCCTGGTTTAATACCAGTTTACTGTTGGTCTTGTTCTGGTTTAGTCTCAGTTTAATGCTGGTCTAGTCCTGTTCTAATCCCGGTCTAGTTCTGGTTTAATCTCGGTCTAGTCCTGGTTTAGTTCTGGTATAGTCCTGGTTTAATCCCAACTAGTCATGGTTTAGTCTTGGTTTAGTTCTGCTCTAGTCCTGGTTTAGTCCTGGTCTAGTCCTGGTCTAGTCCTAGTTTGTTGCTCTTCTAGCCCTGTTTAGTTCCGGTCTAGTCCTGATTTAGTTCCAGTCTAGTACTGGTTTAATCCTGGTTTAGTCCTGTTTTAGTTCAGGTCTTGTCCAGTCCAGTCCTAGTGATCCAAAATTGGCGCTGGCTCTAACCTCACTCATCAGGATGCATGCTGTTGTTGTTGTTGTGGTGCCACTTGGCAAGACACATTGTCCAGATTGCACTTATATGTGTTTCAAAGCAAAAGGTGAATTCCCATAAGACTTTACTGCCCCATAGTGAAACCAGTGAACACAAAGTGAGGGTAAAACTGTAAGTTGTCAGTAACCTTTTTAGTCAGAGATAAAATGTGAAAATCGAACGCACATTTTTGTTTCGGTAATTAAAATAACACACAACCATCTGAGATATCAAAGCAGCAGATGGAGTTTTTGGAAACCAGATCTCTCCATGAATTAGAGACTCGTTAAAAGGTGACAGTTTGATGGGGAGGGTACGTCCAGCCCCCTCCTCTGCTCCGACCTTTTACCCGATCTGTTGCATTAGCACTATGCAGAAAGTGACACTGGCTCTGCTCAGAAAGAGAAAGAGAAGGATATCTAACCAGAGGCAGCTCATAAATGTGTTATTCCTCAGAACCGGAATCCAAAATAATCGTTAAAGCTGAGAAAATACAATATGAGCTTTTCACGTGCTTCTGCTGCAAGTGTGAAACAGACAAACAGCAAGGCCAGCAAGGCTCGCCAGGAATACTTCTGAATATGAAACCACATCAGGTGACAGATCGAGCATTTGTTGACCTGGTTTATGGTTCATGGTTCTTATCTGTCAATCTACATGATACAGAAAACGTACACAAAGTCTCAGTCAGCACAAATAAACTTTTTTTTTAATCACAGTTGCTTGAGAAACTGGTTATTGCCAGTTGACTTCAAGCCTTAATTAATGAAAATGATAAAATATAAAGTATAGACTTACTGTTTCAATGCAATATGAAAACCCAGTCATTTGCTCCTCTTGACGCATTTTCATTTTATATATTTAATAAAATTTTATATATTGTATTAAATATATAAAATGAAAACCCAAAAATACTGAACCTGAAATTACAGAGGTCTTAACACTGTACAATCTCTTGCTTGACCAGACAGAGCCTCCTACATTCTGCCATCTTGTTCCAGAGTATTGTAAAAGCATGTATGGTTTTGAAATTATAAATCAGAATTCACATCTCCCCAATTGCTCTTTGAGTTACTCTTACGTGAGTAGTAGTTTTCTCACTTTTTTTTTACTCTTACTTGAGTAATTTCTTGGACCACTACTACTACCAGTTTGTACTTCTTCATGAGCAATATTATTCTGAAGTAACATTACTCTTACTTGAGTACATCTTTGGCTACTCTGCCCACCTCTGGATATAGTTGTAAATGTTAGAATGCATTAGTAAATGTACCAGTGGGAAAATAAAGACAAAATCAGTCAACGGTAAAACATGATTACAATAATAAAATGGTAAAGTAAAGTGTTTGGGTACATCAAAGCTGCAGTAAATAGTTGGAGATGCCCTTCTTTGCATCATAGGTATCAGTTTAATTGTATTATTTAATTAGAAGTATCTTAAAACACAAACATTTAATATAGTGTAATGGTCCATGAGCTTATAGACATAATGTGGTGTGATCAGAGTTTAGCAATTTGCAGTTTATATTCTTGAATGTGCTAACATGATCATATTCCCAAAAGGGAAGAAAGAGACAGTCTTTTTAATTGTAGACTATGGTGTCAAAAGGAAAATCCAGATATGTTTAACTTGATAGCTTCTGCAAGTGGCATGGGTCTTGAACTTGCTGTATTATAACTCGAATCAGTCAGAGTCATTTAACCTTCCTCTGATCTCCAGTTTCCCACAGAGCACAGGAGCAGACATGCTGCCGTGTACAGTGAACACTACACTGGCTCCTAATCAGGCCCATGTTGATGGATGAACATAATTTGGACAAGAGCTGATCTGTTTAAGCCAGGACATTTGTACCCTGAGAGCGTGTGTGAGGCCTGCTGTGTTTCCAAGTATCAGTGTGTTCTGGTGCAACTCAGATCTGTCTGAATCCTCCAAAGTGACACGAGCCCCGGGTCTCAAATGCAGACAGAGACCAGCGTAGACTTAAATATAGACCACATTCAGAATAGTGTTACATTTTGTCATAGTTATTTTTGGCTTTAAAAGTCTGAGTTTTAAGAGACTGCCTGTTTTGGATATAGAGTATATAGCTCCACGGTTCAGTTGGCTAAAGTTAGGGTTAGATGTCAACAACTGAGTATTAAAGTAAACATGTGCTTGTGTCTGCTTTAAAGTTATAATCTATGACATCTGTGGATCATTATGTTATAATTTGCACATTTTAAATCACAATATTCAGCTAAAATATCTTAAACAAGTCCACTGACTTCCGTGATAGAAAACTGTGGTGCTCAATGGGAGCTGATGTAGTCATAAAATAACAAAGGGCTTCACAATTATCAGCCCCTCCTATGGATAGCTGATGATCATGCTTGTGAGTAGTAGTTTTTTGTTTTGTTTTTTTCCATTTGTACCAGAAGGACCATGTGACGCTGTTAAATCTTACGCACATAACTGATAAACACAATAAAATTTGAGAACAAAGTGAGTACAGAGAAGTGGGTGTGTACGGGTGGTGGTGAAAACTGGGGTTGATCAGAGCAATGACGTCTTGAATGAAGGAGACTAAAGATTACACAAACATGCATGAATCACTCTAAAGACAACTTGGAGAGGGTAAATAAGAAGAGAAACAGTTATAACATTGTTAAAGGCTCTGAAAAGTCCTTTTTGCATAATAGGTTTGCTTTAAAACAGATCGGATAGGGATCTTAAGGAGTTGAACTCAACGTGATGCTTTGTCTTGAGTGAAAAAAAGTTGCACATTTTTCTCTCTATTGCCTACTTTATTTTACATTACACTACATTTGTTGTGGGAATATCTGTTTTGTGGATTGTGGACCACTCCAGGATGAATGAGGGATTGCATCACTGAGTTACCTAAACCAAACACCATTACACTGTAGTAGCCAATGTCCCAAACACACTCCCTGATGTCCACTCAGGCCGGTCTCACCCCGTGGCCGGAGCACAGGGTGAAACGGGGTGAGCGTGAACAGGAGAAAGATGGATGGAGATCAGGAGGTGGTCATTTCTGTGTGTCAATCTGCAGAGACACTTATCACCTCTCGTATCACTGAGAGATCTATGCACACATGGCCTGAACTGAAAAACTATATGCAGCTAAGGATCGAAAATCAGATACTAATCTATACTAAAAGTAGGATCGAAACTTGATACTCATTCAAGCACGTATCAATACTAAAAAGGTCACATTCACAGGACAGAAATGAACCTTCTGTAAATAGATTTAGAAGGATCTTGAGCTGTATCAGAACAAGAGTAAGAGCACATAGACCAGATATGTATTTTGGATCTTTTTTCGGAATATATTGTATCGTGAAGTACTGCAAAATACACATCTCTAACAGTGGTGAAATGTAACGAAGTAAAAGTAGTAAATGATTATGCTTTTTACTTTTATTTAACTATGTTTGAAAGGTACTTAGGCAGTTACTTTTGATTCAGCTGTTTCTGTTCAGTCAAATTCAGCACAAATCTTTATTAAAATCACTACATTTGTAGTTTTATTAGATGTTAAAATCTGTGTGAAATACTTTTATTTTTAACTCTTTAAAATGTGTACAGTGTAACTTCTCTGGTGGACGGTTCATGACCAGTTTTTCTCCATGGAGATGTTCCGCAGTACACTTATTTCACGAGCAAGGATCACGCCAAAACAATGGATTACGATAAAGATGTTTATTGGTGGTGGATAGATGTAATAGCTGTGGAGAGAGTCAGCATGGGGGTATAATCTCCAATCCAAAATGGTCACTGAATCGGAACACCCCTCTTGAAGATGATGTCTTCGGACAAAAGGATGGGCAAAAGGCATGGGTGGGAGGGAGGTGGTCAAGAGAGCTGGCGCGGACGGTGTTGTCAGGATAGGTCGCGTAACTAGGGCTTCTGGGTAATTGAAGGTGTGGTGGACATAAACTGTGCTTGGCTGGACTAGAGAGGAGGTTGAAGCGTGGTCCAGCTCCTGAAACTTAGTTAATCATGTATCTCTATGGCAGAGGTCTCCAACCTTTTTCCTCCGGTGAAATACTTTTACAAAACAAAAATGCCAGAGAGCTACTAGTTTTAGTGGTCACAAGAAAATGAGCAAATATAAGAGCCACAGTAAGCCTTAAATAAGGTACAGTTAGATGCCTATAAAACATAAACCATTATCCATTTATTAGTGCACAAAGTCAGGCATCAAAAAGAAGGAGACAGCAGGTGATGCCATAGAGCCAAGTTATATGTCAAATCTGTGGAAAGGCGAGCACACTCATAGTTAGAAAGTAAGTATTGAAGTAAAAGAAAAACAAAAAAACGTTATTGATTAAATGCAAAATGGATACGCTTGATGCCTGTGACATTCCAAACAAAGCAACTACATCTCCATGGCGACAAGCAGATGGCAGACCTTCCACCAGAAAAGTTACACAGTGCACCTTTAAACTGGTACTTTAATACTATTTATTGAGCTTTTTGCCCCAGAATTGGTGATTTTACTTAACAAAATGGAGTACTTCTTCCACCACTGCCCTAGTATAGACTATTAAGCATGTTCTAAAGTGCTACATTGTGATGAGGTTTAAAACATAAAAACTACTTACTCTTCAGTGGCTTCTTTAAAATGATTTATTGCCTCGCTCTCATTGAATTGGTCACAAATCATAAGTTAGTTACAGCCGAAGTGGAATGAGTGACGTTTTGAGACAATCACATTTTTGAGCAACAAAAGCCATGTAAACACAATACACAGTGCACCTCCAGTCTGTCCTCTCAATACCATTTAAATACATATACTCTGTTAATTCACTTTTACACAAGAAAACGTAAGAAAAGGCAAACAACAGAACAAATTCACAGTAAAGAAATGTTTGACAATTAATGTAAACAGACAAAATGGCAACAGAAACTGTACACACAGTTCACTTCTTTAAACTAGAATTCAAATGATTCTTAAAACATTCAAGATGGGAAACTGATGATCTCTCCGTTGATACTTTGCAGGGGATGTCATCAATATTCCCGAGGGTGTGATGCTAAAGTAGGCACTGCTCTGTCTGAAGCTTTGTTATTCAAGTTAGATTTTCATTTGTTTTGACACCAGAAAGAACTGACTCCTGAAAATGTGTTGTTTAAATCAATTTTGTGTTTTCTGATGAGTTTTTAGACTTTGAACTCTTAAATGTTTTTGATAGTTATTGCTAAGGTATGTATTGTGTCGCCATGGTAACAATCCGTCATAGGAATACAGGAAGAACACCCCCCTTGCATGATTTCACTGCAAAGTATCCGTACAGACCCCATCCACTTTAAATCCACAAGAGTGAGCTATCAAAGCTTGAAAACAGAACATTAAACCTGTGTAAAACCTCATATAGTTTAATAATTGCACATTCTGACAGTTAAGCTTTGTGTCTCCGTTTTATATTAACCTTAAGTCTAGAGACAGTTACATTTCAAAGCAGTTATTTCGTTTAGTAGTTATTTTGCAAGCAGATATACATTTTCTGATATTGTTGAATTAATGTGGTCCTTAATATTATGCAGTATTGTAAAGTTGAGATGATTTTGGCAATGCAAAATGTGTAAAATAAGCCCACACATGGGATTTGTAGCATGTTTTTTTTTTTTTTTTTTTTTTTTTTTACAGTGGAGTACAATATAATAAAGTCCCTTTTGCCACTGGAACAGGTTAAAGTTGCATATAATTTCACTTTGCATTCAGATGACACTACCAAATGATAGAATTTTTCACATGACCAATGAGTCAGAAGTAACAATATGTGAAAATTATAATTCTTACAAAAGCAAATATCCCGGTATGTAATTTATTTTTGAATATATGTAAGATTTTCATATGTTTAGATAATTTATGACAAAATCTATGAATGCATTTTTAGTGATAGATTTGTTTTATAAATTTGTTCTTAAAAGAAAAAACTTTAGATTTGCTTCAGACATGTTTTAAAATATGTTTCTCTACATTGCCAGTAGAGGGAGCTTTTGCAAAAAAAACCCAACATAAATCAAATACAGAGATGCCAGCGCCATCTACTGGAGACACAACAAACTGCATAGCCCTTAGCTTCAGAGATGGCTACAAACTAAATGGCTTTGACACTTAAGTGCTTCATGTTTTGATCTCGACATTTTGCAGTAAGATTCAGCAGTTATTGGATGTATTTGTAGAACATTAGCTTTACTCAGCTCAGAGTGGGTTTACTGTCAGCGCGGTGCACAGGAAGCTACAGCAGACGGACGGGAATGAAAACAGCTCAAAACTGGATCCAGTTTGTAGGTTTCTGTTGTTGAGGTGGTACAGAGCTGTAGGGACACACAGGGCAGTGGGACATTTAGTTTGGGGTCAAAGAGCCTCATGGTATAATTAATTGCCCAAGTAATTTTTTAAGGTTTACAGGAAAATACAAAAACAAAAAACTATATATAAAATATATATATATATATATATATATATATATATATATATATATATATATATATATATATATATATATATATATATATATATATAATAATTAATAAATAATTAATGAAATAAAAAAAAAACTACCATATTTTCCACACTATAGGGCTCTCTGGATTATAAGGAGCATTGTCATAGAAAGCTCTATTTTCGAACTTTTTTCACATATAAACCGCACCAGACTATAAGGCGCATTTAACGAAAAACAACAGTTAGATAAGTCAATCAAACTTTATTTAACACGTTCACAATAATTTTCAACCTTATTCAATTGTAACGCGTCAAAAAAAATACGTTGGCGTTGTAAGCATGTCTCTTGACAGGTGCATTTTGATATTAAAAGGAATCACAGTATGTATTACTCCACGATGCTCCTGACTACGGGAGCAGTAATGCTGCAAGTGGTGCAGCTTTGTAGTTTACTAAAGTCGTACTAAGACACCCCAATAAATTCATATACAAGCCACTCTGGATTATAAGGTGCAAAGTTGTTTTTTGATGAAATTGAACACTTTTAAGTGTGCCCTATAATGTGGAAAATATGGTGTATGTCAATAAGATGTCTGGGGCAGTTTGTGTTTTCAAAGCAGAATCTGAAGAGTAGAATTATACAAATAACTCAATCTGGCTAAAATATGACTTAGGCAATTATGTTAGGAGGCCGGTGACATGTAAGTGTGAATTACTATTTCGTACCTTGTAGTAGAGGTGAAATCGCCCCATAGATCTGAACTAGGATTAGACTGAACCACTGTGTTTGAGTTACTGCTGTCCAACTCCAGAAGGCATCCTTATCAAACACAAAACAATTTCAAGCTCAAACAGCCATTCAAATATTATTTATATTGTTATACAAATAGGTGCTTACCTGTGGCTGGGCTTCCTGTCTGGGGAACTGTGTTGTGATTGGACGTTCCAGACAAAGGAGGAGGGGCAATCTTTCCTCCAGGTGGTGGTGGGAGGAGCCCAAATCCTCCCGCACCCTGAGAACGGGGTTTGTCCCTTTTTTTGCCTTGCTGTAGGTAAAAAAAAACAAAACAACAATATGCATTTATGGAAAAGACATGCAAAACCACTGACCTATAAAAAGAAGGAAAGATATTTCTGAGTATATAAAGTTGCTCATTTCCACCTACTGTTTCTAGACAAATTGGTGTTCTAAGGTATGAAAAAATAAATGAAATTGCCAATAAAATAAGTGTAATTTTGTGCAACAGAATTATCACATTAGAATTATATTTTGAGAAGACTGAGTACAGTGATTTCTTTAATAAATAGTAAATAACTCTAATATCTGTATTAATAGTCCAATCATCTACTAATTCAATGGTCAATATCAAAGCATTTTCACAGCCATGTCAAATATCTTAAAACTTTAAATTAAACCTTTTGTTCTTATATCTGGAGATGATATGTTTACAAAGCTTCTCTTACTCCTATGTTGAGAGTGATGGTCTGTCCCTCTTTAAAGCCTAAGTCCAGTTTTGGTCCAGAGTCTCCGAGCTGAGCGGTTTTACTGAGTTCAGTCTCCTGTTTGACCCATCTGTGGAGACACAACACAGTCTAAAGTAAACATATTTAAGCAGACACAACATGTCTGTGCAGGGTCAGGCAAAGTGGAGCACAGTGAATCTAGAGCAACTGATGACGTAAGTAATACTGCATTTAGAACAGGAACAAAGACCCGCGATTCCAGACAATTGGAAAGAATAGATTCATGGACAGTTCTATGCATATTTTAATTACAATGATGGATTGTATTTATATAGCACGTTTTGGCCACTCAAAGGCACTTTACATAATTAATTTACTTTGTTCACATGCATTTCAAAATCTCATTGTTATTCGATTTCTGGACCTTTAAGATTATTTAAATTAAATGCACCTATAAGTAATCAGATGGGCCGTGACCAGAAAGAAATCAGACATCTTTGCTGTGTAATTGTACTTTTAATGTAATTTAAGAACGTCTCGCGTGACATGTATCAATTATCTGATTTCGAGTGTGATTAGAACTGTAACAAGTCATGGCTACGTTTCAATGCCTTGGAGCTGACTGACAGAAGCAAGACTCAATCTGCATCATTGGCCCCTACGACCACAACCAATCACTCACACACCACATTTGCATCCCAAGTGTCTTGCCTATGGACACAACAAAAGTGTCTAATATAGGCTGGAATCAAACTGCAGACATCTCTCATCAAACTGCAGACCTCTCTCATGCAGCATTAAAATGTCTAAGTTGTTGCTTTAGTACTCACTACTCCAACTTACTAACTATAATATTTTCACAAACAAGGATAGATGTATTAATGACAACATACATTTGACCGCTCATAAAAAGTAAACTTACTTGAAATGGTCCTGTAGAGCCACATTGAAGTCAAAGGCGTCTCCTCTGTCCCCAAAACCAACCCCTATAAAAGCACTGCGGCCTAAAGAAACAAAATAAACAATTCAATTGCATGACTATATTGCTGACATACAGTACAGCCAGTCAATACTATTAATGAAATACTTAAAAAACGTAAATTCTGTGCTACATATTCAAAGGGCACTCTCGTTTAAAGTTTATCTCACCATTGTCATCCTGTATCCTAATGACAAAGTAGCGGCTGGAGTCACTGACGGTCTCCACGGCGATACCCGGATACTCATTCACCGGGGCCTGAGCAAACAGCTCCCCTGGGAGAAGAAAAACACAGTAATTAAAAGGTGCTTTCTGGAGGTGATGCGTCACCTAATCTGTAGAAGATGACGGATCAACATTTCCATGGAAACAAGCAGGCCCTCCTGCAGCTCAAATAAGGTTTGTGGAAATGCAATGCCACAGTAAGGATGCAAGTTTTTCAGTGCAATATATCTTCATGCCTAGAAAAGGCATTTATCAGTTAAGACTGTTTTAGTTTATTTCATAATGTATTTGAAATTTTGATACCTGATATTTTGTCCTCCAGTTTAATAAATGCCACTTTGCCTTTAGCTGTGATTCTCATTCGTCCCGACCAGTCGGGCGCATCCAGTTTCCAGTCAGCTGCCCTGTAAAAACATAGATCTGAATTACATGTCCAGTGTGACCTTTGGAAATAAAGAGGAAGAAATAAACCCATTACAAATGAGCCAAAATTCAATAAAGGTCAGCACATCATTGATTATATTTCAAAGGCCCATATTATGCTAATCTGTGTTATAATGTTGTTTCCACATCAGTAACATATCTGGAGTTCTGTTTTATTTCATTCACACATGTTAAACACAAATCTGCATATTTAGGCTCAGTTAGTGGTGATATAGGAAGTGCTGAACTGTGTTTATAAACTCCATACACCTTCACTAGAATAATATGGTTAAATTCAACTTTGGAGTTGCCAATCTCTACTAAACAAAACTACCGCTTCATGAGATCACAAGGTGGAACAGAGCATTTTGAGCTTTGAAGATGTAGACAATCTAACAACACAGTTCTATTCAAACACCTGTCAGTGTAAGAAAACACAACTCCTGGCATGTTTTTGAGTAGGTAACAACATTATAACATGACTAAAAGCTCATGAGACTCAATTTTGCATAATAAAGGATCTTCAAAATAATCAATGAAAAAAGAGCCCCTTTGTGTGTGCAGTGTACTGTATCACATGAGCTTGTCTTCCAAATTAAGTTATAACAAGATAAAACAAGTTAATTAGTTTAGTTCAATAATATTATCTATGAAGCCCAAAGTCCAGCAACAGACAAACCAAAATGTAGGCCAGTTACATGTACACAGCCCACTGACTATTGTGATAAATTATGAATGAGCTGCAAGGAAAATATAGATTTTTAGTTTAGAGCCTGTATGCGCCCGTATCAAGTAACATCACATATAAACAAGTACAACAGTGTCTCTATCACCTGGTTTTTGCCATGTTTTTTTAGCTTTAATGTTGGTAAAAGGAGAAAAACAAACAAACAAATTATCACACTAGCGCATTATCTGTGGCAGGTTGGCACTGACTATTAAAGCGCAATATCGTTGAAAAATGACAATAACTTACAAAGAAACTAAACTAAACGAAATTACACATGTTTAATTTGGGTGGATTTATGTAAGCCACGTCGTGACTGTTACCACCCGGCGTGATGTGTGCGTGGTGCCCCCTCTCTGGTGTTGTTTGACAGGCACACAGCGCGGAAAGAAAGTGACAACCGATCTACAACCAGTTTTTATTTATTACACAACATTAGGAGGAATTTTAGCCCAAGAGAATCTCGTATTTACCTGTATGCGCGGTTAGAAGCCCTCGGGGGGATGCGGTAGACGTTTACTTCGGGTTTTACGCACAGGATCGACTCGTATTCCCCTTCGGTCGCCATCTTGGATCAGCTGTTATCGGAGTGGGTGGTGGGAGCCCATGGGTGGGAGTGTGATCGCGGTGGCTTGATTCAGCGCTTCACACAGAGGGGGGCTTGTGTGTGTACTTTGGGCTTTACGACTGCACGATCGAGAGACGGCAAGTGCATTCAAAATAATAATAATAAAAATCTGCTAATCCTTGCAACACTTTACATTAGAAAATCTGTATTAATTATGCCAGTTGTACTAATGATAATAAATAAAATACAAAAATAAAATAAACTTCAATATTGATCGTTCGGAGCATCATCTGTCGTGAGGGGGCGGGGCACGTTTCTGCGGAAGCGGAAACGTAGCGTCGCCTCTCCTCGAAGATTCTTGAGGATCTGTTCAAGGTTTGTGCCGTTTTACTCGTTCAGTTCACACATTTGATATCCGTGTGTGAAATGAGGCTTTAGACATACGTATTGGTTGTTATTTGGCGCTGTGTTTGTTTAGTTATTTCTTAATCTAAGGGAGAATACATGTGTTAATTCTCGCTGTCTTGATGGTCGTTTGCGTGTTCTGTCGCTGTCCGAGGTTCTGAAATCACACAGCGTTGTCGTTTTACGTTTGCTTTAATCCGGGAAGACAGTATCAAGTCTAAAACCTAAATGTCTCCAAGAAAACAGCCTAAAAACGCCATATTATTGAACAGATTGCACTTTGGGATAGGGTAAGCATTGGGTTGCCAGTTAGCACTAGCTTCGTGTTAGCCATCAAGCTATTTAAGCTGACAATGTTGAACAATAAATGTAACTATCTATTTGCAAAGGTGCTTTTCGTGCATTTGCATCATAGTCAAATAATAACTGAAGGTGCAGTAGTGGGGTTTTAGTATGACATTAGCAGCTATCTTAGCAGAGACTTGACACTATCACAGTGAGGTGTTATTGCACAGCTTGGACCTTGATCCTTTGATACCGAGGTGTGCGAGCCAAGCCATGGTTCAGCTCATTTTTATGTCGACTTGCTCCTTCTCTCTGCAGGATCTGGTGTCTCCATTCTAATGCAGTCTGAGGAGGAGAAAAGAGCAGTATGTGTGATTACTAAGAAGTCATCTGTATTCAAGCTACATAGGATCTCTTAGAGTGGAGCCTTAGATTATTAAAGGTGAGTTAGACAAATCTTTGTAATAACTGGAATGTAAACAGGCAGAAAGTGATTGTTTTTCTGTCAGATTTCTTTAGTGTGAGTCCCCTCCTCCCGTCTGGCATCATGACGTCCTCAATGCTCCGACGACAACTGAAAAACCTGGTCCAGAACTACTCTGAGGCCGAGGTCAAGGTATGAGAACTGTTCAGTTCTTGTAGTCGCTAAAGCAACATGTTTGTACAAGTGTTTTACTTTGTATGTTCCAGTAAACTGTAGGCCTGTCATTTAGTCGAATTTAGTCATTTAGTCAAATAACAATAACTACTATTTCAACTATAGTCAACTATTTTTATTTGTTGACAAATTATTTTGATTATATGGATTCATACAGACCAGCAGAAATAAAAAAAAAATCTGAATGAGTTAGTTTGGGAGTAACTAGAGTAGACAATAGGTATATTACATTGTCCCATTAAACGGTCCCCTTTCTTCTGTGCAGGTAAGAGAAGCGACCTCCAATGACCCCTGGGGCCCATCCAGCTCCCAGATGGCAGATATTTCAGACCTGACGTACAATGTAGTTGCCTGTAATGAGATCATGACCATGCTCTGGAAACGACTGAAAGACGACAGAAACTGGAGGCACATTCACAAGGTACCACAGACATGTGTCTATCATTAATTTTGTGTGTAAATTTGTTTACAGTACTTAGGAATAGGCTTGATACTCCATACCGATGATACACAATGATAATTTAAAAAGTATCTTAATTTTCAACACAAAACAATACTTTCTTTATGTTGAATGTGGTTTTATACTAGTTCTGATAAAGCTCTATTCAACCAAAACCTTAACTGTTCAGGAAAGGTCAGCTTTGTTGCATTTTTTTCAGTGTCTAGTTTAAATACTAGTTTTAGTATTGATTGTTTTCTGTTTAGGATTGCTGCAGATGACAACTTTGTGTTGTTCTTGTAGGGTTTAAGTTGATGATTTTGTAGCTCTATACATCATGTATAAAAAGATCATAAACAGTATCTGCTCCATGTAATACCATATAATTGACATGGGATGATAACATGCATTTTGAAAACAACCACTATTCTTTTCCCATATTAGTTTACACATGATCACGGTTTATTAATTTATGGATTTGGTCAGCATTGAATTTTTAAAAACACATGTATAAATTATTTATGGTGGTCTAGAAGTTGTGGCTCACGTCCAAAGAGTAATGTGTCTCACTTTAGAGAGTTGGCCGTCCTTGAGGTTTGAACACTGTTTGAATGTTTGTTATTTAACCTCGACAAGTTCAACAGCAAAGTCATCATTTATTACATTTAAACAGAAGACACAGCTCCTCAGACAGTATCCTGTTACCTGCATACACAGCTTACTGTATATTTATGCTTAGAAAAAGGGATGCATTTTCTGATATTAGTATCCACCAATCTTGATATGGTATGGATTCAGCTGATATATTGGTTGGGCATTTAATTCGGTATAAATAACATTTACCTGACTATTTTGTAATAAGTTAATGTCAGAAAATAATACACAAACAGTGTAGAATTAAACAGTATCAATCTCCAGTAACCTCCAGCTGACTGTGGATTAGATCAACTTGGTCAGAAAAATCAGTGCTCGAGACTTTGTCAAAGTTTTACGTGTGCACGGGGTCAACGTGTGAGCCTTCACACTCCAACCGTCACTGTGGCTGGATTGAGCAGACTCCCAGTTGTATGACCTCGGCACAACCCTTTTATTAAAAACACATACATGGTTACACAACTTTGTGACAGTTTTCACTTCCCCCCACCACCGTCTCCCGCCTCATATCTCACTTTCTTAGAACACAGGTTCAAGGACTTTCAGTTCACATCTGCACCTAGACTGTTACAGTGACCTTTTGCACTTCTCTATTTACACAGACGGTGGATACAATGCAGACATAGCACAACATAGTTTCATGGTTTCAAAACACTTTAACACATATAGGTAATGCAGAAGTTTCCATTGCTAGCTTATGTACATTTTAATAACTTCATTGCAACTTAAGCATTTCTCTAGCAGTTAACTATGTTTTAAGGAAATAAATGCCATTTTTCTAGTCCCTACATTAGTATAGGTTAATATTGATTATTGTCAAATACTTAAAACCAAAGTATTCAAATATAAGAATTGAAAAGCTGGATCAGGGCATCCCTACTTAAAGATCCTCACACAGGATCCCTTTATCATAATGATGTTTTTAACATTTTGGCTCCTTATGTTTTGCTTTTCAGTCCTTGACCCTCCTTGAATACCTGCTGAAGACTGGTGATGAACGCGTGCTTCTGAAAATGAAAGACAATATCTACATCGTTAAAGCACTAACAGAATACCGCTTCTCTGATAAGGATGGCAAAGATCAGGTATGTAATATTGAACATTTTAGTCTGTATTAAATGTATGTTAGTTGAGAAGCATCATTAATTTGTAAATCTCTTTCTTAATAACTCTTAATAATACCTTTTATATTCCCAATTGCCTATATTCTTAGGGACAACACAAGCTATACTGTACTATACTTCAGTAATTATATTCTACAATTGCAAGTTTCTATTTATAGCTTCTTCATTATTGATTGTGCTATTCAGACATTTGCTAACTCATGTCATCTTTACATCAGGGAGTGAATGTTCGAGAAAAAGCCAAAGTTGTTCTAGTTCTTATGGAGGATGATGAAAAACTAAAGGAGGAGCGAGACTTTGCCTTCAAAACCAGAGAGAAGACCTCTAAAGGAGCAGCAGGTCTGTGGGTCATCATTTACTTTCTCTGGCTAAATATATATTGTGTGTTAGTGGAGAAAAGCTGAACTAGAGACCGGAGAATTAGCAATTGCCATACTCTGTAAGCATGTTGTTTTTTTTATGTATGACTGTTTGGTCCCTGCCAGTTAAATAAATACCTTTGTTGAAGTAAAAGTTCAAGTATAGTATGGAATATTTCTGCTTGTTTCCATAGAGATGTTGTTACTTTGCCTTTAACGTTCCACAGTATTCCACAGGCATGTTTCTAGCTATTATGTTTATTTGATTACAGCGATTTGTATGATTAAAAATACATTCTAAAAACATTCTTACTGTGAGTGGGGTTGCCTCTCCACAGATCTGGCATGTAACTTGGTCTAATGTTATCACTGGGTTGTATGCATGAAGTTTAATACATAGCTGTGGAACAATCCAGTCAAAGCAATAACATTTTTATGGTGAAGCAGATGGCGGTGCCTCCACCAGAAAAGTTATTTGTGCACCTTCAAACTTCTTTTTATTTTGTCATTATAACTTTTAACAAGTTTATTTTATTCTTTGAATCAGCTTCTTCATCAGATACTGTAAAAGATCCTAACTATAAGCCCTGCTACGTGCCCGGAGCCTCTGGACTTCCCTCTTTGGACAACATCCCGTCAGTGGCAGATCTGGCAGCTTCGTTTGCAGCTCGTAAAGAAGAGAGACTAAAACAGGAGGCTGAGAAGAAGGAGGCAGAGAGGAGGGTCAGTGCAGAGTAACTTATTTTACACTGGATTTCCTTTGCAATTTATTTTTTATATAACATTATCTCAAAAATGTTGCCAGCTTCTGACCAAAAGTTATAGATTGTTTATATAGTTTTGTAATTACATAGACATGGAACAGTGTCTTGTCCCTACAGTGTTAATAGATCACGCTTTTTTAACAATTAATCACTATTATATTTAGAATGATATTTGATTTAAATGTTTTCTTCCTCAAAGTAATATGAGTTTTAATGCTGTGCAGTAAAATATACAAAAAGGATATTTAAAGCCACAATTAGATTATTAGAGTTTTTTTAACAGTAGATGGCAGATGTGAAACCTGTTCCTCTTTCCCTCACCTGGCCGTTGTTCACACTCACCTGTGATGCTGTGTAGTCATCTGAAATCAAGTAATACAACAGGGCTGGGTCTAATTACAGATGGCAGCTTTAAATCAGGTGCTACACATAAAGTCACTTGAATGTGTAATGACAGCGTGAATGCAAGTGAATTATCATCCATGAGTAGTTTATGATGTTGCTCTTCAATGTCCTTGTGTTGAATTCTAGGCTAAGTTGTCTGAAGACGAGCTGCAGTGGGAGGACGCGGGCAAAAGCTCTGGAGTGAAGAACGACGTGTGGGGAGAACAGAAATCTGAGGAGGAATTAGACGAATGGGGCGCTCCCAAACAACCCAAAGAGGCAGAGGGTCCATGGGGTACTCCCAACCGACCGGAGACCACCGATACAGAGATGGAAGAGGGCGCAGATGCCTGGGGAGCACCTAAAAATGGAGAAGAGCCTTTTGTAGAGGGCGAGGATCCCTTTGGTGCTCCAGAAGTGGTTAAATTCACAGAGGAGGACAGCGAAGACCCATTCCAAGCCCCTAAAGACAAATCTCCGGAGGGTAAACCTGAATCTTTCCCTGTATCTGAAGAGGACCCATTCACCTCGAAAACAGATGATCCATTTAGCACGCCCAAAGATGACCCGTTTGCAACAGATAAAGAAGATCCATTCAACACGCCCAAAGAGGTTTGTGGTTCATCATTTCTATGGTTGAATATTTGTTTAAAGAGCTTGTACCTGATTTCAAGCCATAAATTAGAAATTTTTTTAAAATGATAATAAAAGTTCAAACTCGATTTCAAGACTAACAAATAGATTCAATACCCAGTACAAACACCATCATGACCATTAGACAAGAATGTAATTTTTAGCTTTAAAACTTACTACATTCTTTTTATATTTCCACGTGGTCTGTGTAATCCCTCAGTCATCCATGTGGGTTCCATAGTGGTCCGTGGGTGTATACTTGTCTTTTACTTGTCTTTAAGTGTCTGGGATAGTGTTAATTGCTTTCCTATGATTTGTAGTAACCATGTGCCTAATTGGATGAGATGACCCTGTCAGTAGATTTTGTATTAGTTATTGCCAGAGAAATGAAAAATGCATTGACTATATTTTACAGTCTAAATTTTTTGCTCTTATTTAGAATCTTTTTCCATGAATAAATTAAAATCAGGTTCTTCAAATGCGCAATGTATAACTTATGAGTTGGAGCGCCTGCCACCTACCTGTGTCCATGGAGATGTTATAGCTTTGCCTGGAGTCTACAGACATTTATTTAAATATTTTGCATGGCTAAATATGTCTTGGAAAACCTATATATTCTTACTGAGAGCAAGGTCGCTTATCCACAGATCTGACAAGTAAGTTGCTGCCACCAGCTTATGGAGATGGAGATTGGCTGAAAAAGCAATAAGGTTTCCATGAACACAGGCAGATTGCTTACTATTAAAGGAATGTCAGATTTTAATATTTGATTTGATCAACTTGACCTATCTTTGTGAACCCCAGACTGAGGATCCCTTCGGGGCACCCAAGGACGATCCGTTTACGTCATCAAAAAGCGACCCGTTTAACACCCCAAAAGATGACCCCTTCTCCTCTAAATCAGACGATCCATTTGGAGCGCCTAAAGATGACCCGTTCAACGCACCCAAAGAGGACCCCTTTAAACCAGAGGCTGAGGATCCCTTCGGTGCACCCAAGGATGACCCGTTACATCATCAAAAAGTGACCCGTTCGATACCTCAAAAGAGGATCCATTTGGGGCGCCTAAGGATGACCCTTTCACCGCAGCTAAAGAGGGACCAAAGTCACCTCCTCCTAAAGACGACCCTTTTGCAGCACCGTCCAAACCTGCGGAGGACCCGTTTGGTGCACCCACGAGCCCCGTAGGAGATGCATTTAGACCTCCGACCTCCCCACCCAAAGATGACCCCTTCAGCACAGGTGGGTTTCATGTTAGACTGAGACTAATATTGTAGTAGTTAACTAATCAGCAGTTATTTTTTCGAATGGTGGACTAGTCAAAAGATGATTTCTATGGTACATTGAATTTATTTAAATACAAATTAAAGATTGATATATGCAACTGAAGGCTTCTAAATAGAAAATCTTTATGGATAAATTGTATTAATGATGAAAACCTAAAATAAAGTTTGTTCTTTTCTAACATTTTGATTTAATAATGCCCCTGACTTCTAAAATATATTTTGTATGTGTTTAGAGTCTGTATAAATGATGATTATGATTATCAAAATATGATTAGGATTATTTTTAGTTGATTAAGCCCTAGTTACATGTACCAATAGTTATTAGTTGTGTGTTACACCTTCATATATCTTAGTAAGTAGTTAAGTGATATGGTTTTGAAATTTTGAAATGTGTAGTGAAGTGCTTTATAATTGATAATTATATATATATATATATATATAATATATATATATATATATATATATATATATATATATATATATAATAATATAAAAATAAAATATATTTTTATCAATATTATATATATATATATATATATATATATATATATATTATATATATTTTTTTTTTATATATATATTTTTTGTTTTGTATTCACTCAATATAAAATAAATATCTTGAATATATGTATCTAGCACTTAAATATGATAATTTTCAGAGGAAAAATAGCAGGTTCATATGAAAAAAAAATTGTGTACAACTAATTACAGTAACATTTTTTACAATTTTATCCTCCAACAGCCGCGGGCGACCCATTTGCAGCACCAACCACCCCCCCAAAAGAAGACCCTTTCTCTGCCCCGTCCAAACCATCAGAACCATCTGACCCCTTCGCCTCCCCCACCTCCCCCGTTAAAGCTCACCCATTCACAGCACCCACATCCCCTCCTAAAGATGACCCATTCACAGCACCCACATCCCCTCCTAAAGATGACCCATTTACAGCACCCACATCCCCTCCTAAAGATGACCCATTTACAGCACCCACATCCCCTCCTAAAGACCTAGCCGTGGATCCTTTCAGTGCCCCCTCACCCCCGCAAAGTGCAAACACCTGGGGGGACCTGGCCAGCCCTCCACCCTCCTCTGTGGCAGATGCCTGGGGAGCTACGTCACCATCACAGGAGACCAAAGCTCCAGACCCCTGGGGAGATGGGCTAAGTGCCAAGTCCCCAGTGGACAATTCAGATCCATTTGGAGACACCTCCAAACCAGACAATGATCCGTGGGGAGCACCAGGTGAGAAAAAAAAAACATGATATATTATAGTGGTATGATTATTGTTAAAATGGCATTTTTTTAAATTGCTGCAATTATTCACACCAAGGACAACATCTCAAAAAAAGGATTGTACAAAATAAAGGGTGTATTCACCACATTAAACGGGACTAAATCAGAACTACTAGTAAACGTGGATTAAGTCAGGATCAGTATGAATGCAAGTCCCAAAAGCATCTATCCATAGCCATGTTTATGGTGACAGATTTCCTCTTGTTGTTTTATTAGCAACCTGCTTGGTTGTTGCTAATATATTATTATAATAAATAAATGAATACAATTAAACCAGGGAGCATCTTGCTTGAGGCACAAGTGTTCACCATGAACCAATCTCAAAATAAATTCTAAAAACTTGCATATAAATTATGTGTTAATCTAACCTCCAACCATGCATAGTTTTTATAGTTTTAGCAAGGAAGAGCTCATAAAAAAATCCCAAAATATTATCTGTATCATTACAGAATAGTAGAACTGGGTTCAGGCATTTACGTTGCTCTCTATTCTTCCAGCCTCAGCTCCAGTGAACACAGACGATGCGTGGGGTGCCCCTGCCCCTGACTCCCTCTCCTCTCCCTCTGACCCTTTTGGATCTAAAGGGGACCCCTGGGGTGCTCCCAGCAGCACCAGCCAAGGCACAGGTAACACACACATGTGTATCAATGTATCTTCATCTCTATAAACCATCCATAAGACATGCAGTTGTTAAGTGTCTACTAAACTTGCTTTAAAGAATAAATATAAGATATAGGATTAATCTACACTATATAAAAAACTGTGGTAAGGCTACTCATACTCAGTTCTCTACACAGTTTATGTATAAATTTAACCTTAAAATGACTTCATGTGTCAACTGGAGTATTTTGTACAGAAGTGTATTTTGTAGCATCTTGCCCTCAAATACATAGGCATTTGATGCAATTTTGCACCCATCATAGTCTCAACATGACATTAGTTTTATTAGTCTTACGTTGTTTTGTTTTTCTACTTATATAATACTTTAAATGCCAAACCTTTTCTTGGCCTTGCTTGGCATTTGTCTTAATCCAAACCTCTTTGAGCCTAACTGAAAGTGTCCTATCTGATATATTCAAACTTGACCTATTAATATCCTATAACTAGCAATTGCTTAATTTCATCTCCATTCTTCATCCAGTCTGCAAGATTCTTCTAATTTCTAACCCACTAACCTCTTTTCTTTCTCTCTTCCTTGCCTCTCCCCAAAGAAAACACCTTCTAGAGTAGATTTGGACCTGTATTTTTTGCAGGATGGCGATCGGATAAAGATTTGGAGATGTTTAAAAAGACTACTGCATTTCTGGGTTCGGCCGGGGCTTCACTGGTCGACTTGGATGACTTATTTTGCTCTACACCCCCACCCAAACATGGCGCCGCTGCTGTTGCCAAGGCAGCAGTCGCCTGGCAACCTAAAGCCACTGGTAAGGACAGGTAGACTCTGGTGCAATGCTCTGCCATAGGATTTCGTGTGGATATCTTATCTATGGATGCATGACTAACCTGCCGACCACTACTAAAAACAGACTTCTTCTTGGTGTGTTAAATGCATTCCACGTTGTTTTGCTGCCCTCTTCAGTTCAATGAGGATCTATATTCATACAACAGTTGTGTGAAAGATATTGTGCTGTTTTGTTTGGACCCAGTCTTGAAGAAATGTACATTGCCATGTGATCTTTCTGCAAGCTTTTTAATACTCCACATACATACTGCTTTGTATCATGAAGGTAAATTGTAGTTAAAGTACATTCACTAAGTAATTACCATCCATTTTGTCCAGCTCAGGGCAATACATTTGAGTTTTAAAAATGTGCTTAATTTTTTTGGTTTTAATAGCGTTGCTCTACAATATCATATTTCCTATAATTTCATCCAAACTCATTCAATAATTATGCCTTATGTGAATCAAGTTTCTGTCCTTTGCAACTGCAATTTGAAAGGCTATTATTACACACTCCTTCAAAACTTTACAAAGATGTCAGTTCAAATGGGTGTGATTGACAGGGGCATTACCCAATCAGGGACACACATGGCCTGTTTCTATCAAAATATCTTTGTTTGTAAATGATAGATGGCAAATGAGCTCCTTTGGTTCACATGTGTCACTGAAGAAAACAAATCTGATTGGACTGTCATGTTTGGTCCTGTGGTTTTTTTGGTTCTGGCATCTGTGTGGAGATGATTTTGGACCTGCCAGGCAAACAGATAGCAGCTTATGATATACCTGTCAAAACTGTGTACTACAAAAAATTACATAGGTAGACATTTTTATTAGAGTTTTAATTTGAAATTAATATAGCATATTCTTTGAAGACATGATATGAAGTAGTTTCAAACCATAACGAAACTGTTAAAGGGACAGTTCGGAATTTTGGACATAGGGCCTCATTTCCTAGTGAGCCAGAGAGTTGGAGACGCATGGAGACACTTTCTGAAATATTCCATCCAGTCCTTGTATTTTCAGAAATCACTGGTGCTAGGCTAGTGCATGTCAATGGCCATAGTTAGCCTGCCACTAAACAGTCTTACCCACTCCACAAAACACCTGAAGCAAATCTATTATTACTACAGGCTATTGATGTAAATGTCTGTGTTGATAGAAGTAAAACCAACCTTGCATTTGAAGGATTTATGTCTGAGCAGCAGCAGCAAGTTGTACTTCCTGATAGAAAGTTTGGCAGCGGCGGACTGATATATGAGAAAATAGTCCCTCAACATGCAACGATTCATGTGATGCAAGGTTAGTTTTATTTCAAACATTATTCTATCAACACAGACATTTACATGGACAGTCTGGTGTAATAATAGATTTGCTTGGAGTGTTTTGTGGAGTGGGTAAGACTTTTTTTAGTGGCAGGCTAACTTTAGCCATTGACATGAACTAGCCTAGCACCAGCGACCTCTGCAAATACAAGGACTGGATGGAATATTTTTAAAAAGTGTCTCCATACGTCTCCAACACTCTGGCTCACTAGGAAATGAGGCCCTATGTCCAAAATTCCGAACTGTCCCTTTAACAGTTTCGTTATGGTTTGAAACTACTTCATATCATGTCTTCAAAGCATATGCTATTTTAAATAAGACCCTATGTCCAAAATTCTGAACTGTCCCTTTAAGCGTCTTGCAGAATCTTCACATTGATTTCATTCATTCATTTCTGAGACTGGGTTTTGCCTGATCACTCCTCTCCCTGTGATTTCGCTGTAGATGTGTAGATGTCGTTATGTATGTGAGCAATAGTGAACCATTAGAGATAGAGCTTTATAGTGTAAAATGTAACCAGCAGATATTAATGATATTTCCTCATTCACCTGTCTCTGCTTTCTGCTGGGCTGCTCTCAACTGTTTATCCCACCATCTTAACCCCCCACACCCTTTCACGACCTGTTACTAAAATTTCCCAGGCGCTTTGAACGCACCTTTACCGACGCCCTACCACCAAACATCCTATTTACCTGCCGGACAAATTGGCTCCACTCCTTCGTACTCACCTTTTGGAGTTCCAAGTCAATCCACTACGCCGTCCTTATTCCAAATGGAGACTGGGTCAAGTTTTGGGTCAAAGTTCACAGTTCAGAGTTCACCGGGTCAAACGCAAGGCTTGTCGTTGAGTCCACAGACAGTATTTGAGGTGCAATCGACCCAGCAAGAATCTCTTTTTGGGGACTTAGTGGGTCTAGCAGGATTTGGGCAAACAAACGCCGCTCCACCAATGCAAAGTGGAGTTTCCAATCAGATATTTTCAAACAGTATAAATGAAACAAATAATAATTATAACCCGTTTCTCTTATAGAAGGGTAAGGCAATGTCAAAGTCGTATTTAAAAGGTTACAGTGGTATACATGCACACTCTAAATTTGCTTATTTTATCACATTTTTGTAGTTGTAAGATTATTAAAATGACATGTTAACGGCAAAGTCATCACATTTCTCACTTATATTTGTCGATTTGGTAGTTTACATGCCATTTAAATAATCTTAAATGTTCATAAATCAGATTATAATCGGATTTTGGTGTGCATGTGAACATAACCAGTCAGGAAGTTGTAATGGGGCTTTTCTTAAATTGTTTTCATGAGTTTCAAATCTAATAGAGGTTGGGGTCAGACATAATAAATGATGTAGGTTTTGTAGGAAATCTGACATGTTTGTTGTAATAAATGTAAGTTTTAGTCGAGGAGTTTGCATTTAAAAATCTCAATTACTGACGAGCTGACAAGATTTAAAGCATTTTTAATACATTTCATAATTTATCTAAAAAAGAGAGAAAATTATGGATACATTGACTAAAATATAGAAGACAATTTATGAAAAGCCTGATTTTATGCTGAAATGTCATTAAACTAGAAAAAAATTACTTAATTTCATGAAAACAATGAGTTAAACCTGTCGTGAAACCCCTCCTTTTCAGATGCAATTCACAGTACGTGCATTACCAGTTCAAACTTTATTTGCACTTGTGATGACTGACCATGTGTTGTAGCCTCCAGTCTGTGTCCTGTCTCACGCACAAGTCTCAGAGACAGAGACAGAGCAGGGGTTTGTGGGAATCATACATTATATTACACTGTTAACCACGTGTGACCAGTGAAGAATGAGAATTTAATTAAGATAAATAGGAAACTGAAATATTAGAAATCAGGGCTTGACTTAAACACCAGCCAAGACTACTTCAAAATTCAATTACTGTATATTTCAGACTTTAAGTCACACTTTTTTTTCATGGTCTGGGTGGTCCTGCAACTTATATATAAAAATGTATATCTTAAAATGTTCAGACTGACAGCCGCGAGAGGGCGCTCTAGGCTTGTGTGTCAGTACTACTATTACTCCTGTACCACTGTCACTTTGCACTCTACTGCGCATGCCTCCTGTCGTAAAATCTATGGTTTATCTCCGGAGGTCACGCAGAAGTGACACAGAGGATGAAGAATTCAATGGATTTAGTGATTTGGAGTGAGATGGAGAGTTTGGTAAACTTATGTTCTGTTGTTTATGCTATAGTTATCTGAAGAACTGTTCATATGTGACGTTAACATATTAACGCCTATTCAGCCTGTTGTTCTCTGTTCTATTGTTATTACTAGAACTTAACCTTTCAAGAAGAAATGTCGGTTCCTGGTCTCTGATGTTATAAAATGCATTTCCTCAAAAAGTGCAACTTATAGTCTGAAAAATATGGTACAATATTTAGATTTTGCAAAGATGCAGCTATAACCGAAACATGTCAGGATTTATTCATCTTACTCACAAATTCAAATGAAACTATTAAATTATGAACTAAAACGCTATTGTGGCCTGTAAGTATAAGAGTTTAGAATAAAGGTGCACTGTGTAACTTTTCTGGTAGAGCGTCCACCACCTGCCATCCACCTTTCTCCATGGATATGTTATTGTGTTTTCCAGGTATTTTCCACAGTATGGCATTTAATGTAACTCTCCATGGCAGTCACATAACCAGGTCAAGTTACAGGTCAGATCTGCGGAGAAGCGGGCCCGCTCACAGCAAGAATCCACGGTTTCGTGGTAGTTTTGAGAAATAAAAACTCCTGTAATGGGATAAATGCAGATAGATTTGTTTAATGCCATACTGTGCAGCGTCCCAGGCAAAGCAATGGAGACAAGCAGGTGGCCCTCTACCACAAAAGTTACACAGTGCCCCAAGAAAATAGATTGCATCAAGTTTAATAGCTTCGCTTCCAATACAGTATTTTGTTTGAAGAAATTCTCATTATTTCCTGGTCACATCTTTTATTGTTTCTTGTTATGGACCTGTACAACATTGACTTCAGTTAGAAATGCGTTGCTGTAGCATTTCATAGAGTGTGCATGTGTCTATTGCCTGTACATATTGTGAGTTTGTGTGCGTGTGTGTATGACTGGACACTGGAAATATATCGTGCTCTTGTAAATAATGGAAGTAATATCAGATCTAATATACTGTATATCAGAGTGTTACAATCAATGAGTATTTATGGATCTAAATTATTGTGCGATTATTTATTGATGCCGGAAAGTTCTCCAGAAAGCGACAGTTTCGGGTTTCATGTTTAAAACTGTGGTCATGTGACACGGGCTTTGGTGTGATTGGCTGCGGAGGATCATGTGACCAGTGGTGTCTTGATTTCCTCTTTGGTTTGTTGTCGTTTTTGGGGTGTTGTTGCTTCATGGACAGAGGCAGATGTGTGTTACTGTATGATGTGTAGCTACAGAACTGGGTCAATAAAATGGAAATTCAACATAACATGAGTGCTTTTCTATTTACTCTAAAGGTGTTCTATGTAACTTTTTCTCTCCATGGAGATGATAGCTCCATGACATCACTGTGGCAATATGGCATTCAGTTACCTAACATTTAATAATTATATTTATTGCTTTCAGAATGTCACAGGTCTGACCTGTAATTTGGCTTTATTACCCACTTGTCACCATGGAAACAGGAAACAAGCCATACAGTGGAACATTCTAGGCAAACCAATAACATCTCCATGGAGACCGTCAAGTGATGCACCCTCCTCCAGAAAAGTTTCACCTAAATAATTTGACAAAGTGCATGTCCAAGTACAAGGTGCATGTATTTTGGATAGTTTTCCCACCAACATGTGTATTAGTGAGTTCAAACTTTTCATCATTTGCATGTTGAAAAATCCTTCAAACGGTCCCTACGAACTGGTCTGGCCCCTTAGAAATAAATATAATGATTATTAACATTACAATTTTGCCCTACAATTTGTCAAACTACATCTAAAATATAGGGCTCAATAAATGATCAATGCAAACGGATTTAGAGCATGGATGGTTTAGAGATCATGTAAGGTGTTGCCACAAGAGGGCGCCTTTTGCAAACAGCAGCTTTGAAATTTGAACTGTTAAACTACCAAAACACGTGTTAGAGGTGGTGCGTAAAGGTAGGTAATCTAGATGAAGTGTGGGTTGTGTGAATTAAAATTAAATGTACAGGCTGATGTGAGTGAATATTCTTAAACAAACTTGAGAAATTGCATTACAAGATGAAATCAGGTCCAAGTTACACAGTCAAGTAGTACTATAAGCAGACAAGCAGCAACAAGTACAGTAGTTTGATGCTGGCTACTTTTACTTGTTTACACTGAGATTGGAAGTAAATTTAAACCAAGAAATGTTACAGATCAGGTCTGTGGAAGGGCCACCCCTGCTGACAGTAAAAAAAAATTGACCAATGAAAATATGATTGAATATAGTAATGTAGTAATTGAATAAATAAAATACATTTAATGCCATACTCTAAAATATTCACATAAACCCAGCTACAAGAAAAGTGACGTAGCACATTTTTATGAACGGTCACGGCCCCCATCAATACGAAGATCATGCGGGGGCCCCAAATAATAATTGAAACTATTTAACTGAATATGTATTTTTATGTTTTTCCTCTTACATTTACATGTTAAACAATATAGAATTATGGCTGTAGGCATAATACTACTATAAAGCATGCTTGTCTTGTAAATGGCCTTTGGGGGGGCCCTGGGGGCCTCAGAGGCATTGCTGGGGGCCCCAAAGGTTGTTCACAAAACCCACTGTGGGAAGCACAGGTCTAATCTAAAATACAGACAAAATCTAAAAGACAGACGCAAGTTTCTATTGTTGAACGAAAGATAAGACAGAATTTTGTTTTTTATTTTTTTATGACATGTGTGTATATATGTTATATACATAAATATATATACAGTTAGTTTAGTTACAGTTTAGTTTAGGTAAAATCCACCGCCTTCTGGTTCATCACCAAAACAAAAAAAGTGAAATCCGGCCCTGGAGCTTTTCTTCTTTTTTCGTCGTTTGTTGCCTGCTCCTGGTGGTCTTGTGATGACCTCGTCCGGTTCGTCTGGTATTTCACCATAGAACCGATCACTTTGTTTGGTGTTTTCAGGGTCAGTTTTTTGTGCTTCCTCTTGGACCACCCTGGGACCGGTGTTGTGAGACTCCTGATGGATCAGGAGAGCTTGCAATCTTAAAGTTTGTTTGCTGCTCCTGCCACAATTTTGAGTTTCTACAGTCTCTACAGTGAAACTTGAACAGCCTCCATCTTTGCTGGGCTTTGGGGCTGGTTTCACTTCACCAGGTTTCGCTGGAGTATTGCGGTCACCTGCCGTTCTTGGAAGGCGTCTCGGTAGTCTCTGTTCTTTGGGTGGGCTCTGAAGATACACTTGAGCGTAAAGAATGTGAGAGGGCAGCTAATGCATCTGTTCATCAGCTGCTTCTAAGTGGCTAAATCTCTCACCAGTCTATATATGACCCAGTGCCAAACTTGAATATCAACAAACCTTCAGAGACACACATCTTTACACAGTTTATGCTGAGGTCCCACAAACATTATCGACGTGAGGCCATGCTGCCTCTGACAGATGCATTAGCTGCCCTCTCACGCTCTTTGGATAACTCCATCTCAATCTTCACTTGGATTATCTCCCAGTCCACTTCAACCCCTTCTGCGTACTGAAGAAATCTCTTGTTAGATTCTTTTCTGCCAAACCTCTGGAGAAACTTCTCTCTGAATGCCAGCACAGTGTCCACATGGGTCTTGTGTTTGACTGCTAGTTCCAGTGCCCTTTCCCAGTTGAACAGGTCAATGTTGATCTGTATAGCCTGATAAATAAGCCCGGCTTGTAACAGAACTGCTTCAGCCTCCTGGACCTGACCACTGAACAGCAGCATATGGGCAAGAGAGGACTCTTTAGATGCCTGCTCCTTTATGAAGTGAATGTACTGCACACGAGGTAACTGTCCAATAGCAGCATAGGCCATCTCTGCCGTTGTTAACTCTTTACTAGCCATAGTCATTCCAGCAAGACATGCCCACAAAGACTGGTCTTTGGCGAAGCGACACAAGTGCAGTGCATCCTCCCAGCGAGAAGAGGAGCTGTAGTCATGGAGAATGGCTGGATAAGGTGGAACAGTGCTGTACACCAAAGAACCATCCCCTTGGCGCAATGTCACCTTGGTGCCCACATAGCTCAAAATATGTGGTGCCCGGGCAAACTCACTTGCATCTTTAACATAAAGTGTGTGCGGTAAAAGGTCCTTATCAACAAACACCACACTTGGGTAGTACCACACCGTAAACTGATTGTCTTGAATACCGCACAAGATGTTAGAAGAATCATTCCATTGCATACAGTGAACCATACTACCGATTTTGCAAATTTTGGGTTGTCGTCCTTGATGTACAGAGGTCAGGTAAAGGTCACGGTTCTTGTCTATGAAAGCGATTTTGCGCTCCTTCAAGGGGCCGCACTGGTCCAGGGCAACATCCACCACCTCCATCTTATGAGTCAATGGTTTACCATCACCAAAGGCTTTCCCCGTCAGGGCATCAAAGAGATATATGACTTTCTCATCACTTTTATCTCGAAGAGCAATTGTGTCGTTGCTAAGAGAGATGCCTTGAGCATTGAGAATATCAGCCCTCATCCCAGGAAATTTTGGAGAACATATAAGTCGACCCTCATATGAGAATATATACAAGCCCGCTCCATCCACAAGCAGAAAATGTTTCTCTGTTTGAAGAATAAGGCTGACATTTCCCTCTTTCAGGTCAAAGATGAGAGGAGTATTCCAGTTTTTTGAACTGTAAACATAGCACTGGAGTGAGGTGGCAACAACAAGATGCCCAAATGCCAGTGAGGCTTTTATGACCCGATCCCTGAACTCTAACACATCCACTGCCTCATCGATCACATTTAGCACCTGCATGGTTCTTCTCTTGGTGAGGGTGATCACAAAATTCTTCCACTCCCAGTGCTGCTCCACAATGTGAGCAAAGATGACATGTCCATTACCACAGGAACCAGCAATTTGGGTGCCATCTGCAGACCAGGCCAGGCTAAACACACTTCCAGTGTTGGGCTTCTCCAAGGCATAGGACCATCCAGTTTTATCACAAAGTCGTAGTGTGTTGAAGGAGCCCATGGCAAACACCTCTCCATCGGGAGCCCAGGACAAAGAGGTGACTGGGTAATCATGGGGAGATGATGTGTAAAGCAACCGACCAAAGCTGTCCCACACCTTATATTTACAATCTTCCCCCCCTGATATTATCAAGTCATTGACTGAATTCCAATCAACTTTTAAAATAAGGCCATCATGAGCTTTCCACTGTATGACTTTAGCACTGGGCTGCAATGGCTTAATAATGAGCTGCCTTCCTGATGTGTACAGAATTCTGTCTGAGTCAGGGCCCCAAGCAACAGAATACACTGGGGAACCTTGGCTAGCAAGTGTAGATCGCAGCATTCCACTCTTGGACCAAATCTTGATTTGGCCATCCTCCCCAGCTGTAATTAGAGCACTACCATCACAGTTCCATCTTCCAGATAGCACAGCTCCATTGTGTGCATCTACACTCTTTTCAATGAGCCCACTTTTAGAAACTAAGTGGAATTTTCCATCGGTACTAGTAAGAACGAATATGTCAGCTTGGTTCTGTTTCTTGGAGCCCAGAGTTTTAGGAAACCAGTGGAGTTCAATCGGATAAAAGTCATCTGGAAGCTTGGCAACCAAACTAGTTTCACTAGTTAGCAGGTTCCACTTCAGAATCTGGTGATCTTCACTGCAGGAGTACACTTCATCTGCTGAAGTCCAGCCAACACAACTCACAAGTTCTTTATGTTTTGGCTCCTTTAACAGTGATGTTTTTAGTCTCATGTTGAATACTCAGTGGTTGGCATGCTCATGTGCTGAAAGATGAAATAAAAAGCGTCCTCAGTTGCTACGGTACCTTATCGGTTGCTAATGCAAAACTTTAGGTGTCCCTTATTCTGACTCACCCATATAAACTCTGGTCAACATTATGGCTTTGAATCAAAGCGGTTCTGGCCTTTAGGCCTTTATGCCTTTATTTTGTTTTCATTTAAAAAAAATAATAATTCTGTCGCCATGGTGACAAGCAAGTGACTCCACCAGACCAAGTTGCATGCCAGATTGTAGAGATGCGAGCCACTCACAATACTGACATCTGTTTCACTTTAGATATAGCTGTATTATTTATCCTATAGTTCAAGCTTCACTGTGTAACTTTTCCAGTAGTGGGTCTGACATTAGCTTCAGTCACATTATTGTTTTGCCTGGAAGAATGCACCTGGTTCTTTTCCCAAGAAACAGTGCGGGTCTAGACCCAATCCTGAAAACCTGAAACAGAATTCCGACAGTTGGTTTAACTCCAAATTTGTTTTCGATGTGGTAACAACATTATAACATGGCTTAAAGCTCACAAGAATCCATTTTGTGTGATATAGGACTGTTATCCTATCACTCTCCATTTAGACAAGCAGGTGATAAGTAAAGTAAATGCACCTACACTCTTGTCCAGACTCAGAACTGTTCAAATGCAGTTTCATGCGGCAGTTTATGCCTGTATCCTGTTTATTTGTGTTTCAGAGGAGTTCAAGAGGGAGGGAGATACAGTTAAGTTGAAACTGGTCTGATTGAGTTGTGACACGGGTGTCCTAACAGTGTCCTAAACTGTCCAATTCTCCATCTGTCTCCTCTTTAAACACTTTAAGTCCACCCGTGTCACAACTCAATCAGACCAGTTTCAACTTAACTGTATCTCCCTCCCTCTTGAACCCCTCAAACCCCTGCTCTGTCCTGTCTCACGCACAAGTCTCAGAGACAGAGACAGAGCAGGGGTTTGAGGGAATCATACATTATATTACACTGTTAACCACGTGTGACCAGTGAAGAATGAGAATTTAATTAAGATAAATAGGAAACTGAAATATTAGAAATCAGGGCTTGACTTAAACACCAGCCAAGACTACTTCAAAATTCAATTACTGTATATTTCAGACTTTAAGTCACACTTTTTTTTCATGGTCTGGGTGGTCCTGCAACTTATATATAAAAATGTATATATTAAAATGTTCAGACTGACAGCCGCGAGAGGGCGCTCTAGGCTTGTGTGTCAGTACTACTATTACTCCTGTACCACTGTCACTTTGCACTCTACTGCGCATGCCTCCTGTCGTAAAATCTATGGTTTATCTCCGGAGGTCACGCAGAAGTGACACAGAGGATGAAGAATTCAATGGATTTAGTGATTTGGAGTGAGATGGAGAGTTTGGTAAACTTATGTTCTGTTGTTTATGCTATAGTTATCTGAAGAACTGTTCATATGTGACGTTAACATATTAACGTCTATTCAGCCTGTTGTTCTCTGTTCTATTGTTATTACTAGAACTTAACCTTTCAAGAAGAAATGTCGGTTCCTGGTCTCTGATTTTATAAAATGCATTTCCCCAAAAAGTGCGACTTATAGTCGGAAAAATATGGTACAATATTTTGATTTTGCAAAGATGCAGCTGTAACCGAAACATGTCAGGATTTATTCATCTTACTCACAAATTCAAATGAAACTATTAAATTATGAACTAAAACGCTATTGTGGCCTGTAAGTATAAGAGTTTAGAATAAAGGTGCACTGTGTAACTTTTCTGGTAGAGCGTCCACCGCCTGCCATCCACTTTTCTCCATGGATATGTTATTGTGTTTTCCAGGTATTTTCCACAGTATGGCATTTAATGTAACTCTCCATGGCAGTCACATAACCAGGTCAAGTTACAGGTCAGATCTGTGGAGAAGCGGGCCCGCTCACAGCAAGAATGCACGGTTTTGTGGTAGTTTTGAGAAATAAAAAACTCCTGTAATGGGATAAATGCAGATAGATTTGTTTAATGCCATACTGTGCAGCGTCCCAGGCAAAGCAATGGAGACAAGCAGGTGGCCCTCTACCACAAAAGTTACACAGTGCCCCAAGAAAATAGATTGCATCAAGTTGAATACAATATTTAGTTTGAAGAAATTCTCATTATTTCCTGGTCACATCTTTTATTGTTTCTTGTTATGGACCTGTACAACATTGACTTCAGTTAGAAATGCGTTGCTGTAGCATTTCATAGAGTGTGCATGTGTCTATTGCCTGTACATATTGTGAGTTTGTGTGCGTGTGTGTATGACTGGACACTGGAAATATATCGTGCTCTTGTAAATAGTGGAAGTAATATCAGATCTAATATACTGTATATCAGAGTGTTACAATCAATGAGTATTTATGGATCTAAATTTATTGATGCCGGAAAGTTCTCCAGAAAGCGACAGTTTCGGGTTTCATGTTTAAAACTGTGGTCATGTGACACGGGCTTTGGTGTGATTGGCTGCGGAGGATCATGTGACCAGTGGTGTCTTGATTTCCTCTTTGGTTTGTTGTCGTTTTTGGGGTGTTGTTGCTTCATGGACAGAGGCAGATGTGTGTTACTGTATGATGTGTAGCTACAGAACTGGGTCAATAAAATGGAAATTCAACATAACATGAGTGCTTTTCTATTTACTCTAAAGGTGTTCTATGTAACTTTTTCTCTCCATGGAGATGATAGCTCCATGACATCACTGTGGCAATATGGCATTCAGTTACCTAACATTTAATAATTATATTTATTGCTTTCAGAATGTCACAGATCTGACCTGTAATTTGGCTTTATTACCCACTTGTCACCATGGAAACAGGAAACAAGCCATACAGTGGAACATTCTAGGCAAACCAATAACATCTCCATGGAGACCGTCAAGTGATGCACCCTCCTCCAGAAAAGTTTCACCTAAATAATTTGACAAAGTGCATGTCCAAGTACAAGGTGCATGTATTTTGGATAGTTTTCCCACCAACATGTGTATTAGTGAGTTCAAACTTTTCATCATTTGCATGTTGAAAAATCCTTCAAACGGTCCCTACGAACTGGTCTGGCCCCTTAGAAATAAATATAATGATTATTAACATTACAATTTTGCCCTACAATTTGTCAAACTACATCTAAAATATAGGGCTCAATAAATGATCAATGCAAACGGATTTAGAGCATGGATGGTTTAGAGATCATGTAAGGTGTTGCCACAAGAGGGCGCCTTTTGCAAACAGCAGCTTTGAAATTTGAACTGTTAAACTACCAAAACACGTGTTAGAGGTGGTGCGTAAAGGTAGGTAATCTAGATGAAGTGTGGGTTGTGTGAATTAAAATTAAATGTACAGGCTGATGTGAGTGAATATTCTTAAACAAACTTGACAAATTGCATTACAAGATGAAATCAGGTCCAAGTTACACAGTCAAGTAGTACTATAAGCAGACAAGCAGCAACAAGTACAGTAGTTTGATGCTGGCTACTTTTACTTGTTTACACTGAGATTGGAAGTAAATTTAAACCAAGAAATGTTACAGATCAGGTCTGTGGAAGGGCCACCCCTGCTGACAGTAAAAAAAATTGACCAATGAAAATATGATTGAATATAGTAATGTAGTAATTGAATAAATAAAATACATTTAATGCCATACTCTAAAATATTCACATAAACCCAGCTACAAGAAAAGTGACGTAGCACATTTTTATGAACGGTCACGGCCCCCATCAATACGAAGATCATGCGGGGGCCCCAAATAATAATTGAAACTATTTAACTGAATATGTATTTTTATGTTTTTCCTCTTACATTTACATGTTAAACAATATAGAATTATGGCTGTAGGCATAATACTACTATAAAGCATGCTTGTCTTGTAAATGGCCTTTGGGGGGGCCCTGGGGGCCTCAGAGGCATTGCTGGGGGCCCCAAAGGTTGTTCACAAAACCCACTGTGGGAAGCACAGGTCTAATCTAAAATACAGACAAAATCTAAAAGACAGACGCAAGTTTCTATTGTTGAACGAAAGATAAGACAGAATTTTGTTTTTTATTTTTATTTTTTTATGACATGTGTGTATATATATGTTATATACATAAATATATATACAGTTAGTTTAGTTACAGTTTAGTTTAGGTAAAATCCACCGCCTTCTGGTTCATCACCAAAACAAAAAAAGTGAAATCCGGCCCTGGAGCTTTTCTTCTTTTTTCGTCGTTTGTTGCCTGCTCCTGGTGGTCTTGTGATGACCTCGTCCGGTTCGTCTGGTATTTCACCATAGAACCGATCACTTTGTTTGGTGTTTTCAGGGTCAGTTTTTTTGTGCTTCCTCTTGGACCACCCTGGGACCGGTGTTGTGAGACTCCTGATGGATCAGGAGAGCTTGCAATCTTAAAGTTTGTTTGCTGCTCCTGCCACAATTTTGAGTTTCTACAGTCTCTACAGTGAAACTTGAACAGCCTCCATCTTTGCTGGGCTTTGGGGCTGGTTTCACTTCACCAGGTTTCGCTGGAGTATTGCGGTCACCTGCCGTTCTTGGAAGGCGTCTCGGTAGTCTCTGTTCTTTGGGTGGGCTCTGAAGATACACTTGAGCGTAAAGAATGTGAGAGGGCAGCTAATGCATCTGTTCATCAGCTGCTTCTAAGTGGCTAAATCTCTCACCAGTCTATATATGACCCAGTGCCAAACTTGAATATCAACAAACCTTCAGAGACACACATCTTTACACAGTTTATGCTGAGGTCCCACAAACATTATCGACGTGAGGCCATGCTGCCTCTGACAGATGCATTAGCTGCCCTCTCACGCTCTTTGGATAACTCCATCTCAATCTTCACTTGGATTATCTCCCAGTCCACTTCAACCCCTTCTGCGTACTGAAGAAATCTCTTGTTAGATTCTTTTCTGCCAAACCTCTGGAGAAACTTCTCTCTGAATGCCAGCACAGTGTCCACATGGGTCTTGTGTTTGACTGCTA